AATTAGCCACTACTGTATGAAGTTATTTTGCTTACCCTCAGTATGGAGACTTCTGCAGGCTAATGTGATCCTGAGTGCCCAGCACTGCCGGGTTTCAGGGCTCTTGCTGTTCTCTCCCACACATGTGGAGCTACTGGCAAAGCAAGACCTTGGCAGAAAGCTGTGCAACACAGGATCAGGGAGAACAGGCTTGTGACTGTTCCCTTTCCTTTAACAGGTCTAACAGGCTTCCTACTCCTCCAAGAAACTTAGACACCTACCCATTGTGCAGCTAAAGCAGGAGTGTGACCTCTTTTGGTTGGTTCTGTTTGGTGTTTTCCACAAGGCATTTGGGCAGTTACACTGAGTGGTTTCCACAGAGCTGCTTTTCCTGCTGTCCTTGCTTGAGTGAAGAGCAGCGCTCAGTAACAAGGTTCTTTGGAGTACATTGGTAACGCTCTTACTTGTGAGGTAATACAAGAAGCTATGAACTTTTAAAAAATCCCCGTTATTCTAGACTGTGAGAACCACTAGATTGAAATACAAGTTCAGCATAATCTCTGTGGTTCTGCCTTTCCCCATTAGAGAGCAGATGGAAACACCCAGCTGTGACAAGGCAAAGTAGCACTAACTCCTATGGAGCCTTCTGTTAATGGTCCCCAGCATCATATGCAAATTCCAAGTCCTTCTTGACAGCATCATTAATGCATTCATACAAAGGGTTATAAGGTTGTTTACAACACTATTTCAAAAACTACTGCTGCCCCACAGGTTTCAGTTTCAAGAGTTGCACATTCAGCTTGAAGATAAGCTCATTTGTTATGTTCTTATCTACTGGGAAGAAGTATTTGAATCCTTGCTGTGTGGCACATTACTTGCACTGGTATCACAGCCAGGCCAGATGAGAAGCATTACCTATTGGTAGAACAGGGTAATAAAAAAATTAGAAATATTTTTAAATGTACCAAACTGACACCTCCCAGAAACGGACTAGTTAAAAGCCAACACAACCCAGCAGCCCAGTGATGTGGAAGGCACACAGCACTGCCTATATGGTCCAGCTTTGCTTTATATGCAGGAGACAGGCTCTCAGTTACAAAAGCTGAGGTTCTTATCTAATCATTCCAGTTAATGTTTAAATATAATTGGAAGGGAGACAATTTTCAGATGCTGAACAGAGGTGGAACACTCTATCCTGGAGCCTTCTTTCAGGAAGAAGGTGCATGTCTGTGTTTTTGAACCAGGAACTAGAAGTGAAGCTTCTCCCAGCCAGGTGAGTGCTCCAACAGCAGCACTGCTACAGGTGCCCCTTTCCCAGCAGGCATTTTCCTGGCTCTCAGCTCCCAGAACCCATATTTGCCTGCAGGTGTGTGTGAGGGGCCCAAACAGTCATTGCTCAGCAAACTGGCTCCTGAAATAATTTTCAAACACCACTCTTAAGCAACTGTGTTAAGAACTGGAACTACACCAACAGGCATTGCTGGATATCACATTATTTTGAGAATAGTTCTAGACAGGCCAAGAGCCCCTTTGTCCTAAGAGTACTCCACTTTGAAATAGGAATTGTTTCAGATGGACAGGGCTTTCAAAAATATTTTAAAGCACTTTTTCTAATGCTGCTGTTGTAAATCAACATTCGCACAGCTGCCTACACAGCTCTGTCAGTGCAGTCACATCAAGCTGTTGTCAAGCAGGGGCTGACTGGCTTGACAGTGTGGGACAAACAGCATACCCATGGATAACCAGAGTTCAGCATATTTGCAATTCTGCATTTCTTTGCTGCTGCTGTGTACAGGAACATTACTGCTTATACAGTTTTCACTCCTAAATCTAGTTTTGCTAACCTGAAGTGAGGCTCACCACAGCTACAGTTTAATGCCTTTCTAATGCTAGCAATTAAACTGACTTTGTAGCTACTTGATCCCTGCAGCACAGTCCTGTATTGTAACTCAATCCTAAAGGATTACATGTAGATTCCATCATTTTAAATTACTGCAGCATTAATAATTTAATCTACACAAGTTTTGTTCCAAACATGAGATGCCCATAGCTCATGGTACCCTCCAAATACAAATCTCTGTACCTGCAGTAGCAGAAGTTACTTTGTACTTCATTAAATTAACCAGGTATTTCCTCAAAGATTACAATCCACCTTGGCCACAAAGGCTGGCTGTGCTACCACCATCTGAACTAAAGCAGCAGAAGTTGTAACAAGTATGATCATTGTATGATCACGTTCAAAGCAGGGAGAACAGATAGCACACTTACTCTGCACTTTCCACAAGAGGCAAAGGTCTGTATCAAACAAAATGTATATATTCTGGCCTAGGGAGTAAAGTCAAGGCACCTCAAGGGACAGCATCCATCTTTTTCTAAAGATTTTTGATTTGAAATTAAGATTCTGCTGGTGGAAGTTTACGGAGACTTCATACCCTTTCCACTCTGACGCTACTCTAATTGGCCTCTTCCCCTTCTGTACCTTAAGTATTTCCTTGAAGAGAATGTAGCACAGCCAAAGTTGTCACCCTCCATCTTCTTACATTATAAGCTTAATTATACTGTATTTATTCCTGTTCTCACAGAGGAAGAACATAGCAGCCTACTAACATACTTATTTCAGAGGCCCTACTATTTTCAGCTGTCCCAGTCTGGGGCTGGTGGGGGTGGGAATCACAATGCTCCAGCCAGTTTAGAAACAAGGCTCACACAGCATGGTTTGGACAGGAAGTGGCACCCAGCAACGCTGGCTTAGGGACAAATACAGGCAGTTCCTGAGCCTGCACAACAGGAACCACAGCACAGCTCAAAGCAACAGGAATTATTTGTCATGCTGTCCCTGAACACATCAGTGGCCGTGCAGCTCAACCCACCAGCCTCCACCTAAGCACATCACTCATCTGGCTATTCTCAGCCTCCTCCGTAATGTGTACAGGAGGAAGCTTCAGAAGCACCAGCAGCCACCACTGTGCCACACGTACACCCAGGCAGGGAGTAAAGCACACCACTCCTGACCCCTTTTGAAAGCAACCTCACACATGTGCTCTGGCTGTTAAGTGCATTGCCTTTTTCCGCTTTATCAGAACACAGCTTTGTTACAAACTACATTTGAATGAAGCTTTCCAATAGGATATAACAACTTATGCTCACCATGTAGGGCAGGGAAACTTTAACTTTTTCTGTTTTCTCCCTTTTATTAGTTTAAAGTGTCATTTGCTCAAATTACATTCCTTTCCTCCCTCTGCTACTTGGACCCTGGGAAAAAAACAAAACAAAAACTAACTGAACAAACCAAAAATGGCTTTACTCTGTTCATTTAAACTTTTTTAAAATCATGTCCCCAGCATCTTAATATGCTTCTAGCAGTTTACTTCCAACTTTGTGTATTTCTGCAGAAAAATGTTTTTATCTGAACCCACACAGGCTGCAAGCATGTGGAGCCCCAGGAAGTGACCTGTAGCAGTGCTTGGACTTGCTGCCCAAACAGCATTACGATAGGAAACTATGGACAAGAGTATGTCCTGCAGCTGGCTTTGTCCCGTGCAAATAAAATTAACACAACAGTGGAGGACTGACTTCTGAGAAAGCAAGACACATCAGTTCTTACTAATGACCCCAGATATTCTTTCAATGCATCAGCTGTCTCAGTTGTCCGTTTGGAATGTGTCTCTTGCATTACAGGCTCTTTGCTGGAAAGGTCTAAAAATGATAAATTCTGTATTAAGCATAACACAGTCAGTTCTGCAGGATTTAAGAGTAAGTGACATAAATGCCTTTGTATTTACAGAAACACACCGAAAGATAATCAAGTCAAAAACCAGAACCTTCGAACTTAAAAGAACAGACTGACTTCTTGTTTAATTTTTTTTTTACTTTTTTTATTTGGGAAAAGTGCTTCTTACAAAAGGCAGCTGCAAAACAATACGTTATAGACCTCAGAACAATTTCTCATTCCATTTAAAAGTGAAAGGAGAGGCAGTCTAGGGGACAAGAGCAGCAGGAGAACAGATCACGGGGCATCCACAAGTCAATAAAAAACAGCAATAATGTAATGCAAGGTTAAAATTCCTGTGCTGGGGCTTTGGTGGCAAAGTAATTTCTCAATGCGAATTACAGCCAGAAACTGCACGACTGCCTTTGTAAGCAGTAACTTTACATAAACTGAACAGCTTTACCAGGCAACCTGCCCATCTCAGCTGCAGAGAGGCACAAGTACCTCAAAGCAGCTGGGAGTCACAGCGAGTTTCTAGCAAAGCTCACGGCTTAAGTGTTTACATGAAGTTCTAAAACTTACAGAGCGATAAAGCTAAAGGGTCCTCTCTGGTGTTCCTCTGACCCCACCTTGGCTAACCGGATTTCTGCTCCTGGACAACCCTAATCATACACATGAAAGAGAGCTGGTGTATTAGGGAGTGCCATCTATCAAGTTAAGCGATAGTCAGGATTGTTTCCCAGTCTGGGCTGAGACCACTAGACCAGTTTCATGTCCAATTGGAGGCAAGACTTCATGCACCAAGAGGGGGTGAAAGACGGTTTTGCTATTTTTAACTTACACAGAGTCTCCCCATCCTTGAGGTCCAACTCTACATTTATCTGTATATACACATAGAGAGTTCTCCTTTCACAAATACATTTTCCTTTCATGCTAAACACAGTAAAAATCCAGAACGTTCACACCTGGTTCTGGTTACACAGTAGTAGTAGTAATGTGCAAGTAAACAGAGACCAAAAGTCACAAATGAAGATGTGTACATGAGGGGGCTGGAACGGAGCTGATTCCAGAAAGCATCTTTTTATCTGGCCTGAAATCAGAAATATTGGTACAAAGACAGAATAAAGGCCATCAGCCAATTTACATCCCCACTGCATGGCCACTGCTCATTTTTGTATCTGGGCTCTTCAAAATGAGTGTGGAAGTCCTGTAAACACTTTAACCCTGGAACTGGGTGAACTCTGTTGGGTACACAGATGAAGCAACAAACCTAAGCTAACTGTTTGACAGTTAAATTCATTTTTACAAAAACTAACATTTTAAAGATTTATTTATTGTTATTTGTTGAAACAGAGGAAAAACAACACTCCTGGGGTGGGAAAGGAGGGGAAGGGAAGAGACAGACCCTGGGTAAAAGTTATTACAACAGCACCTGGAATTGATCGGCCTGCCTAGGAGAAACACAGGCACTGCCACAACACCACAGGTAATAGCTACTGCCTGAAGCCAAGACAACAGTCCACACTCCACTGACAGGTGCTATAGATCCAAATCATAATAATCTTCCAGCTCATCATGAAATAAGTCCCACTCATCCTCGGAATCCGTTAGCTCATCATCACCTCCAGCTGCCAACAGCATAAGCAACATCTCACCAAGCTCAAAGGTCACCACCTCATCCTCGTCGGTTTCAAAGGGATCACCATTCTCTCGCTCCTCGATGAAATCCCAGAACCGATTCCTCCGCTGGGCCTGCAAATGGAACACAAGGGTTTCCCCAGGTGACCCTGTGGTACAAAGTATGAGCCTTTCCAGAGGCTGACATGCCCCTGGTGTACTTTCTGACATGCAAGAAATCACATTTCTCTTTCAGGGAGATACTGACCTCCAGCAGAATTAACCCTTACACACACCCCTATTACTGCTACCTAACATTTTTACTTCAGTATGTTGTAAGAAAGGTTTTTAAATTTAGTCTTTCCATCTTGGCCTCCAGCATTCACAAACTTTAGAGCACCACCTCCTTCAAATTCACCATTACAGAGGTCTATCAGAAGTGGAAAAAAGAAAACTCAGTATTTCCCTATCTTCTCAAGGCAGAAGACATAATGCACACCCCTCTTGTTTGTCTACTGAAAGGACAATTAATCAGCAGCACTAACCCGGTATCTACTTGAGGTTCCTACTTTGGGTCTTTGTGGCTCCTCTTGGCGGCCATCAGGATATTCATGCTTGTAAAAACAGTTCCCTCCAAATGGACAGCTCCCACGGCCTTCATCAAAATACCTGCATGGCTTGTTGCTGGAAAGGAAAATATCGCAACCCTTACTGACAGCACACCCCAATCAGACTTCAGAACTGCATTTACCTGCAGTCCACAGGGATCTCAGGTACCAGGAGCAGAAGGCATTTCATGAGTAAAAGACCTACATGTAGAAATTATTTACTACACTATGTGTAGACTGACGCATGCAGAGGGACACCAATGGTGTGCAGTGTACGAGCTTGGACTGCCTTATGACTACACCACCAGTGTTTTATGTAGAGAAGGGAAAGACTGGGGTGAAAGAACACAGGAATAGCTTCGGGACTGTGTGCATGCACCTGTGGGCAGACAGGCAGAGGTGCTTCAGACGTGGTGGTGGAAAGGAAGTGTGAAAAGGGGCTTTACATTAACACCCTTCTCCATGTATGCCTTTATCTCTGCAGTCTCAATTTGATAAAAGGCTGCATTACTCATACCTCATTGCCTCCTTGTATTTCTGAATGAGTTTCTGCTTCTCTTCCTTCTCCTCCACCCAGTACTCACTTGGAATGACAAAGTTAGACGTGATGCGGCATTCTGGGCAGGACCTGGGAAATGAACAGACTGTGCTGCAAAATTCCACATTACAGCGCGCTCTCTCTCCTATATAACAAGGCATGGCATATATCCATCTTTAAAGAGGTACTGTACTCATATACCTGCTGTACAACCTTTTCAATCTAGACCCTCTTATAAGTGAAGATAACCTACTCTCTTCTTCAAGAACTCAATGGCAATGGCAGCTGGTCAGCTTGTCTCAGAAAAGCTTGAAGAAACAAACACTTCACACAGACTCCTTTTTCTTTAGAATTAAATAAATTTATTTTGGTATTTTCCCTATATTTATTTGATTGGAACTTTGTATTTTCTAGAACAGCCTTAAATGGAGAAATGTTTTGCCAACTGAGTAATGCTCTAAGGTAGTAATGAATTATCCAGCATACATTCTGAACTGGTTAATCTGTTTCCAGATTCCTGCCTGGGTGTCCAAGACATAAACAGTAACCACTGGACAACATGCTACTAAAGAAACAACAGTTATTTACTAGAGTTTTGCAAACTTAACCCGGTATTAACCAAATCAGAGTGTAAATGTTAGGTCTAACAATTACTTCACTCCTAAACTAAAAGTTAGTATGCATTAAATGCAGTCTGTGCAGTCTGCATCTGGAAGTCTGTTGCAAGTTGTCACAAGTTACTAAGTTCTTCCACAGTAACAAAGCACAATCGAAATGGGAAAGTGCCTCACTTTATAATCTTGCTCTCAAATTGTTTAGCACTCCTCCACTTGCGGATGCACTTGAGACAGTAAGTGTGGCTGCAGTTGGAGAGGATCCCAAAGCGGCGCTCGCTAGGATTAGCTTTCTCATACACCACCTCCATGCAGATCCCGCACACCATGTCTTTACTACGCTGGACGGCAAAGGAAAGCTCCATGTCCTTCTCGTGAGCTTCAATGCAAGACTGAAAAGGACACAAAAAAAACAACTACAGACATGACTGGCCACCTGGTGAGGTCCAAGCAGGTTTTTAAACACAGTTTGCTATTTTACATAATGTTTGAGGTGTGATTAAACTGAAAAAAATCTTCATTCCAAAAATAAAAATTTCTTCAAGTACTGGGGAACAATCAATTCAGAGTTCAAATTCCTTCCTTCAGACACTGCTTTTAAACATGAAAAGGCAATCTAAAAGACCATCCACTTTGACTAGGCAAAGAACAAAGCTCCAGTGTCTTTAAGCAGACTGCTTTCCCAACACAGATAAGGAAATCCAGCTGCTTTTGAGTATGGCCCTGGCAGGAAACAGTCTAGTTTACAACCGGAATTTCATTCACTGCCTGACCTGCACACACCTTCAAATAAAAGGGAATTAGTAACAAGCGATTGAGGGGAACTAGGAAGCAGTAACTCACAGCTGTTAAACAGCAGACAGTTGTTTGCTTACCTTTATGTGCTGAGATCTCTGTGCAGCATCAATGGGATGCAAGACCTGCAGGCCACACATATCACACACGTCCCCATGGATATACACGCAGTTTTCTCCATAACGACATTCTCCTAATGCAGCATAGGGGCACAGCTCCTTCTTCATCTCCACGTCTGCCTGCTGCTTCTCGTATTCTTCTTCAATCACCATTTCCTGCAAGGGTGCTTCAGCACAGAAAGGAGCAGCTGGAAACAGAATTAAGAACAGTAAGCAGCACATTCAGATTTTGAGCACCAGGAGTAAGAACACTCAGAGTTACCCAGTTCATTTCAGTCCAAGTTCACACACCCTCAATCTGAACTAAATTATTTTCCCCACTCAAATAATTTCAAGACTGATTTTTTTATCTTTCAACCCAGACAAGAGTAAAGCTATCAAAGTTTCAGTGGTCAGGGAAGATCCACTTACAGGCTAAGTCCACCTAGAAAAATCACACTAATCCTCAGCAGCTTAATACAGACTCTGGTTCAGCTACCATTAAATAAGGCTCCAAATCTCTCACTACTTTTAGAATCAATTTCACTTCACCTAAAATTTTCACATCAGCTGAAGTTAACAGGTTTTTTTTTCCCCCCAGAAATTATACAGCTGACATAATAAAGGTGTATCTAGCATAACAAAATGCTAGTATGGTAATACCACATCAGCAATACTTTACATGCAGGCTAATTAATTAGCACACTGTTCAAACTGAACAAACTTTCATTTCTGAAATCCTATACATCTCTAGGATTGATAGAAAAGTGGTGTTCACATCTCTCAAACTAACTCCATTCTACATATTTACCAAAAAACCTGTCCTAAACAGATATCTGGTCAATTAGCCAGACACATAAAACTGAAATTCAGTCTATTATCACTGCATTCTAAGCTGGCTATCAGTTTTGCAAAATCTTAAGTCAATTCCCTCCCTAAACTTAAAGTGAACTGAAATCTGTATCTTTTCTCTTCCCCCTTTAGACAGTTACTGCTGAACACTCCTCCCTGTACCTCAAACACATGCTTGCATGCCTCACCACAAGTCAGCCTTCTGAGATTGTTACATAAAGATCGTAACAAAAGCAGTCAGTGAGAAACTGAAGGTATAATAAACATAAAGCATTACTATATCCAGAGTAAACACCAGGAAGAAGAGCAGCTGGAGTTCATTTGCATAACAATAAGCTGTTACAAGAGTATCAAGTTGTCTGTGCTGTAAGAAAGTGGAACTTTTAGAAGCTGTTCAAGCACTAGATTTGGAGAAGCAAGCAAAAACTACCAAAGGCATACTTGGATCAGTTAGAGTGAAGGACAGACTCCTCAAAATTAATCACAGGCTGCACACTTGCACAGTGTTCATCCCCGTGGAACAAAGACATAACAACAGGTATGTATCAGCCTGTTAGTTTTAAGAAAAATAAAATGCAGGTCCCTGCAACTTAAGCAAAATATTGAAGATTAGTGTAGAAAAATATTAGCTCTCAAGATAAGATCAAGTCTGCTTCTTGAACCATCTCAGACTGTAGTGGTCACTCAGTGATCCTGGAGAAGTCTGTTTGCTAGAAACATACTTTTCAAAGCAAGTGAGTAACTGAGTAACAAGTCACCTGGCAACCTGTTCAATTTCAGTCCGAGATTCCCAAACAAATGTTCATTAGTTCTTCTTCCCCATGAGTTTTGGTGAACCAGCACCAAGAAAACTGACAAGAAACCATGTACAAGGCTCTACATTCTCTCCTGAGTAGCTCAGCAAACATGAAAATATGTACTTATTGAAAACCCACTTGCCCTCCCATTTGAAATCCATGGTCTCCACTTCCATAAGAAATAATAAAAATCACAACTACCACTCAGTTTTTAGTCCCTCAACTGTTGTATTTGCCAATGTTTGCTAAAGTGAATGTTGTCACAGATTTTTTTACCTAGTTGAGGACCATGGAGATGGTTAGAAGGATGGAACACCTCCCCTATGAGGAAAGGCTCAGAGAGTTGGGGTTGTTCTGCCTGGAGAAGAGAAGGCTCCGGGGCGACCTTACTGCAACCTTCCAGGACATGAAGCGGGCCTACAAGAAAGATGAAGAGGGACTTTTTACAAAGGCATGTAGCAAAAAGAGAAGGGGTAACAGTTTCAAACTAAAATTCAGCCTGAAAAAGGGTGGGTTTAGACTAGATATTAAGAAGAAACTCTTTACTGTGAGGCTGGAACAACATGTATTTTTTCTGTATCTACTGCACTTTAGCAGCTACAGTTTTACTTCCTCTTTGAAACCACAATTAGGAAAACTCGTAAAACCTGACTGCCTCAGCAGTTACAAATCCAACATCCCTCAGAGTAACATTTGTTCTCTACGATTGCTTTATGTTTTCCAAATCTCTGCTCACCAGTAGGTGGACTCAATCCCCACCTTCTCATTGCCCATTTCCCAGTAAACTGGGTTAAATTCATACCAGTGGAAAAACCGGTTTGTTAACTTTGATCCACACACCACCTGCTTGCACTTTAGGACACACTTCATAGAACTAAACACATGAATCTTTCACTAATAGGAAACAGACACCCAATTTATTATTTCTTGTATTTCTGCCTTTCTACTCTCCTTCAGCTGCAGAACAAATATGGAAATGTGGCAAATCTGTACAACTAACAAGTGAATACCTGAATAATCATCACTATTTTCTATGCTAGGTCCTGAAGTCATCTTCAAGATACAAGGTTTAGTCTCAAATCAGAGAATTGTGGTAAAAGGCAAGCATTATAGTCCCAGCTATGCATGGTTAAACTGCCAGCCTTGAATCTTTAGGTTTAGTTTTGAAGTTTCCAAGTATTTGTACATTTCTCCAGCAATTTGAGAATAATCTGCTTTAAGGCGTACACTACAGAACATACTGCACACATTTTTATTTCTGTAGCTTAATAAAGACAGTTGCTTCAGAAAACTGAAGTTTTTTTAAAATCAACATGGGAATTAGCATCATGTAGCACTGTTCAGTACAGAAACAGAGGAGCATGTGTTTACATCAGGTTTCAAAAGCTATAAAACAGACAGGCAACAAGATTCACAGAAGAGAATGCTACTTAACTTAATCTTGCACAAGTTTGCATGAAAAGTACACCTAACCCCTAGAAAAAAAAGATTGCTTTAGTAAAACTAAGTTAACAGCATAGTGACTTAAGACTTCAGGAGGAAGCACCAGCTCTTCTGTAAGGACTGTGTGTATTTAAACAATCTCTGGCTGTTCAAACTAGCAATTAATTTATTCCAGTGGAGGACCAGTCAGTCATTAGTAGGGCTGACTCCTACGAAAAGAGACTGACTCTTCTCAGATCTGCAAATGATAAGAGACAGAATGCAAGCTGAGGCAGGGAAAAATCCAATTACATACTAGGAAAGAGGCTTTCTTTGTGAAAGAAGTCAAACACCACAAAGGATACCCAGAGGTTATGGCCCTTTGAACATCTATGACGATAGAGATTCAACTAAACAAAGCCCCTGGCAACCTTTAAGCAGGAAATGAACCAGATGACATCCAGAGGCTCCTTCCAATCGAAATATTATATTCTGATTAAAATATTTTAAGAAATCTTTTGTCTCAACAAGCACAGAAGCTCTATCTTTCATGACAGTAAGGTGGCACATTCACAGGTAGAGGTCAAGTTTTCACTCCTTTGGGATATACTCAAGTTCACCGATTTATTATGCAATTCCATAACCAAACTTCTCAACAGCATTAGCAAACTGTTTGTGTCACTTGATTATCCCTCTTCATCCTCCTCAAATTGGATGGGAGGAGGCTCCAACCAGTACCCGGTAGTACTGAGAAGGTAATTCTCTTTCCAAAACTGAGATTCTGAGTAGTGCAGTGGGACAAAGCAGTATCATCTGAGCATTATATGAGATCTTCAAATTCTCCTAGATGCAAGGTATCCATTTTGAATTCAAACATTTATTTAAGTACTCCTCCTCATGCTTTAGAGAGACAAATATTAGAAATTATCTTAAAGTGAACCCCTTCAGCCTACTTTTCACTTTAATGTCAAGACTGTTACATTTTGACAGGAAAAAGAGATGAGGAGTATGCTACTCAAATAGGACCACACTATTTGATGAGCTTCTTCAGTCTCATTCTCATCGTGAGCTGTCACAGTATTAGAAAGTTGAGCTCTAAAATCTAACTAGAATAAATCATTTTCAGCCTCTGGCCATGGGATTCACATTAGGCTTTAATTCCTTCTACAGGAATCTGCATCTCCACTGAAAAACCTTTCAAAGACTGCAAAAACACCCCAAACCAAATCAACCAACGCAAAACACAAAGGCAGCAGACTATCTCCCCAGATTAGCAATAGTATCACCAGTAATTTCCTCTCCCATCCCATATGCAAACTAAACTTAAAAGGAGATTCTCAAGCTGTTCAGAAACATAGCAAGAGAAAGCCAGTCATGCAGAGACCAACCTGAAATATATCTGGTTTCTGAATTAAATAGTCAGTCTGACTGCCCAAGCTATAAAACCCAAGCTCTCTTGAACTCATCAATAAATATGAATAGCTGTACCCAAATTCATTAAAATAAATGCACTACATAGAAACTGTTGAGCCATGATGGAAATTCACTGTTATCCCAGGATCAGCTTACCACGTCCACAGTATGGCTGCCCAGGGACAAACTCCACTGCATTCACCCAGTCTTCAGCCCCTACTCCTGTCGCTGCCAGATCTGTATTTTCATCTTCTATCTCAGCAATAAATTCTTCAACTGTTTCAGGGAGTGATGCGAACTCTGAGGATACTGATGGATAGATTTCTGCCTCTGGGTTAACATCAGTCACTTCTTCCTGTATTAGTGGCTTGGTATGTTCATATCTAAAAAGTTAAAACACATAATGTCAACTTTCCATAAAAAATACCTCCAGACAGCAGCCCCATGTATGGAAAATGAACTAATGAAGATGTGAACAAGCTATTTGGAAGGAGGACCCAGAAATGGCTAGGATGAGAAAGTCACTGATGACCCTTTACAGAGAAATACTTCAACTTGTGCAGTCTGTCAACATTGTTAAAGGAAACACAAGGTACCCTTATATTTTGGAGAAAAAAGAGCACAATTCTTACACACAGAGCAATCTCCAAATATGTCCCAAACCAGTCAGTTATCTATTACACATGTGCAGTACTGCTGAATGAGAAAAATTAGTTCATCCAGCTTTATAAAGAGAAGACTCAGGACAGACACTGCTGTCTCCAATTACCTCATGGGAAGCCACAGGAAAGATCAGCCAGAGTCTTCTAAGAGGTGCAGTGATAGGATGACAGTCAGTAGACAGCAGTCCAAAATGGGAAATTAGTTATGAATATAAGGAAAAAAATTTGCTATAAGGGTAGTTAAACACTAGAATGGGTGCACAATCTTCATGCTTGTAGATATTCAAAGCTGGACAATGCCTTGGGCAACCTGGCTCAGCTGGCACAGATTCAGAGATCCCCATCAACGTAAATGGTTCTTTTCCTGTTTCCCAGCATCTTGACTCATGCAGATTTTACACTGAATTTGAGTACTTATTCCTAATGCCCCTTTCAGCTTATTGTGGAAAATGAGAATCGGAACACTTTTAGCCCTACCATCCACAATAAACAGCAAGGCACCATGTCCCTCAAAAATCTGTCTTCCAGCAACTAGGAGATAACATGGGGAAAATAAATGACAAATATACTATTGTAGCCTTAAGATATTTGCTGACTAAATTCAAGGACAACAGGAGGGAATTTTTTGAAATCATACAGAAGTTTGAAGTGACTGTGATTCACTTAGCTTGTGTCAGATTAAAAAAAAGAAGTGTCACAATTCTTGCATATTAAAGAGGTGCTCCTTTGTCAGCTTGGAAACCAAATGTCAGCTTGGAAATCCCACTCCTACAAAGCACAAATTTAAAATCCTAGCCTTCAGATCTCTACATCTGTGGCCTCCAAAGCATGTGTGCCATATGAGGTATTAGGTTGCCCAAGGCAACCTAATGGGGTGCAGGAAGAAAATACTAGAACTTAGTGGTTTTTCCCCTTAAAAAACACAATAAATTATTATTATTACTATTAAGATACACGTTAATGGCAGTGGTCTCACAGTCCATATATCAGAGAGCCCATGTGTGGTATGTGTGAGGTACCCTGAAGGAGGAGGTGTTCCACCACCCAGTGGGTTTGATAGTGGCACCCTGTCTGCTCACTTTCAGCATGTTGTGACATACTGCACTTTGCTAGTGCCCACTTAATGGATCAACAGATTATCTGATCTTGTTTCACCTAAACTAGCCCTGATAAAGTGAACAAGTGGCTTGAAAAGATTCCTCCAACTGTGGGCTGAGAACAGCACTGATAATGCGAGCAAAAGCCAACAAGAAAATGTCAGAGCTAACAGTTCTGCTCCTACTACAAGCTCCTCATCAGCCACACTACTAGGCAAAACAATGCCAACCTAATCAGCTCTTGAACTCAGGGGGAAGGGAATCACAGAAGAGATCAAGATTACCAAGTAGGCAATCTGAAATATGGATTTGCATTCACTATTATTAATGAAGAGCCGTGCCCTCAGTGTATGCTGTACCTTGAGATATTAGCTACTGAAAGGATGAAGGCATCTCAATTAGCAAGATACTGAAAATCAAAACATCCAGAACAAAAGGACAAACCTACACATTTTTTTCCAGATGTTTCAAGCCATGTGCTACTCAATGCAGTACTTTGCAGAACTTCACAGTAAGGGGTTAGAAACCTCTTTTGAGGCTTGTTACACAACAATGAAAGAAAAAGCCATGTGCCACTGGACCAGTTTTTCTTCCTGCTGTGGTAAAAATGACTGAAATAAACCATGGAAAACAACATGGTGACAAAGTAAAACGCATTCCTTTGTCAGCAAATATTGTTGGGAAACACAAAGAAAACACTGCTAGAATTTGAACAAACAAGCATTAGAATAAATTGTGCAGAGTGGAAAGCTTGCTCTATGGCAGAAGAAAAAGTACATGTTTTTCACGTCTCAGCTTATGATACTTGCTAGATTCTGTTTCAATATGAACTACTTTTTGTGAGACACCAAAGAAGAGATGTACCAGTAGAGGAACATTCTCAACAAATTACTTCTTTAACAAAGCAAAAAGATTCACTGGAGGAGATATCTTCTCAATAGTATACAATTACTTTAATAAAAACAATGCTTTATGGAAAAGCTATGCAGGTAAAACCACTGAAGCAGCAGCTGCTCTGACCACAGTAAGAGACTGCAGGGTAAGGGTACAGGGATAGCACCCTGCCAGAAATTCATCACTACACTCTCTTATTGTAGCAAAGATGGATCCAGAAGCAGCCAAGTGACACTAGAAAATGTAATTAATATAGACCTTTAAACATTCAAATGTTCACTGCAGTTATGAGGTGCAGAGCTACCACGAAAATTTTCTGTACCACACAGATGTTTGCTGATTATCTCATGGCAAAGCGCTTAAAAATTGTCATGGATGAGTTATGCAAGTTTATTTCAGGAAGACAAGTGCTGCAAATTTGCTGCCCTTTTTCTGTGCTGACAAATCAGTGTCAGCAGTATGCTGCTGAGCAGATATTAAAAAGCAACAAACCCAAATCAACCAAACCCAACCACCTTCAAAATGCCTCTCAAAGATTAAGTCATTCTATGAACAGATAACTGCTTTTTCAAGGAAATTTGTGGTATGGAGACAACACTTCAAAAATGAAGTACTTCCACCATTATGTGATTTTATAGCCAAAACCTACCCAAGTGTGTCAACTACAAAAAACCTTTCATTATCTTGCACACTTAAAAATTTTGCAAAGTGATTTCTCTAACATGTTTAAAAACCTCTGAAATTCAGAATTCCAGTGTATATTGGACCCATTTGCTAAAAATATAAAAATGCAACACCTTCCAGTTAATCTGCACTAAGAGCTGATTGACATCAGGGAAGGTGGAAACTTACCAGCTAAATTTATCACCCATTAGTACATGCAGCCAACAATACACTTCTTTTTGGATCTGCATATCTTTGTGAAACATGTTTTTCAGCTACAACTACCATTAAAACCCAGGACTGAAATAAATTCACCTTCAAATCAGACCATCAAATAAATGCATCAAAAAATATTACACTGAGATTTTAAATAATAAAAAAGCCCATTGAATCAACATTACTGTCAGTAAAAAAAATATTACTACTAATAAGGTTTTTAGTGACAGTAAACATTGCTTTGGACGTTTATAAAATATGTATTAAACATTTTTCATTTCACCTTTAATACACCCTCTTTAAAATTCTGGGTTTGGGTTATCTTTTATAACGTACATAACATTAGTACAGCAGTAGATGTAGATATACACATATAAACTATAAATAAGTGTGTATGTTAGTGGGAGTTCAAAAATATTGAACTGATGGGTGCATGATCCAAAGTTGGAAGACCACTAATCTACATGATCAAAAAACAATACTGGCAGATAGAAGACTGCAGAGAGGTTCTCTTTCTTACATATAGTAACCCTTCATGAAACATGAAAGCAAAGCTAACTATGAGCTACCATATAAAATAATGATGCAAATGTTTAATCACTAATTACAGGTGCAATAAGACAGAATGTTAAAATTTATAGTAAGTTTTAACAAAATTAATGATGAAACATCCATAAGCCCTTTGTAAAGCCTTGCTCCAGTAGGGAAGTATCTGTTTTTCTTCTTCACAATTTCTTTTTTACTGTAATTTCAGGGGTATAGATAAATTCATAGCATATTTTCATAAAGTAAAGCTATTTTGTACAGGAAACATCTTAGAACTTATATTATAGACAAATTCAAGTAACTTTCCCAAAATGGCAGTTCCAGTGTCAGGGTACCAATTCCTCAAGAAGCAACATGAAGAAAACAAATTCTTACCTGTTCAGGCTTTTATGATCACTTAAATAGTGTAACTCAGTTTCATCCATTCAGCTAGTCTGAATGTAATCTCAGATTTCAATCAATCTACTCATGTTATTAATAAAAAATAAGAAAACTCCCCATGCTTACAACTATCACTTTCATGAAAACCAGTTATCACCTTGCCTTTGCTCATTTTTTTGATAGCAAACACTGGTATTTAGCAAGACAAGAGAGTCAGTGAAAAGCTATTTTTATAAGTATCTGAAGTTACAGTGTAAAAGGAAAGCACTAAGATCTACAGTATTTCCCTGAGCTCTCTACTCAGGGATTCAGAGTGCCAAGCTTCCTGCAGGATGGCCAGGGGCATTTCTTTACCTGCAATGATCTCCATAAGCACAGCATCCTCGCTGGTAATACCTGCACACCATGGCAGACTGACTGGTGGAGAGGTCATGGGAGTAGCGGCAGTTATCTCCTTCCTTGCAGACTCCATGCATGAAGTATCTGTAAGAGAAGATAATCGTGAGTTAAGGAGAAGCACTGAAGCTGCAAAAGTATTTAGATGATCTTGTTACTATAAATCAAGGTATGCTGCATTAAGAACAGCATTAAAGACTCATGGGACCCTGCCCTAGTATAACCATAAAAATAAGAACATTTGAGGAAAGATGAAGCCTCAGCTGCTACGATGAACTGTACTGCACATTTAGGGACTTGCTCTTAAATAAGCCTGGGGGAAAAAAACACAAAACTGTAAAAACAAAGTTATCCTGGGCTGTGACACTATGAGGAAAGAGTCTTGGATCAAGCAGATTGGCACAAGTTTTACTTGTAGCCCGTGTCCTGACACAAGCAAAAACGCAACAGTGGATACAAGAATCAAATCCAGACACACCCTAAATCACCCAAGGTATTAAATCTATTCTGGATTCATAAATAAGTCAAATGTGATTTCCTTTCCAAGAATGAAAAACACGTTTGTGATGGATAATTACATCTGACAAAACACACACATTAGTTCCTGCAATAGGAGCAAATAAATCAAAGCACCCTGCTTCAATACTGTGCTGCTTGTCTTGAAAAACCTGGACAGTTTCAAAGCCTTTGAGGACAGTTTGATCAATTTCAGCATGTCAAGTAGCACAAGTTTAATTTAGCACCTTCAATTCAGTTATTCAAGAGAACTTCAGAGTGGTTTTCAAGAATTTTTCAATTCTAACCTAGAAGAACAAGATTCAATATATTCAAGGCACCGTAACTGTACAGATTCAGTATGTTCAAAACTACAACCAAAAAGTTCAAGTACACCTTTCCCAATCCACATAAAAGTATTAGCCAAGAAAAACAAAGAAAAAAAATCCTTTGTAAAAACTGAATCCATAAATGTTTACCAACACTTCAGTTTATAAAGAAATTGCACTGCCTCCAGATAACAAGCTGCAAACTCTGAACTCACCGGAAATAGGAAGAGCTAGTAAAGAAGAAAATCTGTGAGGATTTAGTGCTCATACAAAACACTCCTGAAGGGAAGGCTGAGAAGCAGATTACATCGCTGCTGAATGGGGCAGTCCTGCCCTCCTCCTGTTCCACACTTCCAGCACTTTGTAGAGCCAGCAGAACCAAGCCCTCCAAGCAGCTGAGTGCAGCCTCACAGCCAGCACAAGAGACGGGGATCATCTTTCAACAGCCACAGCTAAGATCAGGACAGCTCTTCACCAAACAGTACCTTCAAGTTGATATTCCTGACCAGGAAATATGATAAGATGTTGAACTGCATGCACTTCTACACAGCTATTTAGTCTACGGTATTTTTAAGAAATCAGATAAAGCCAGTGAACAATGCACTAAATGACATAAGTAGAGCTACATCTGCAATCCAGTGTCAGGGAAATATTAAAACCTGAGGTTCAGTGTTTAGAGAGCTGATAACCCACCATGTGCAATACCACTGGTGTATTCAACATACCAAGAACAAAAAAATTCTCAACTAGCCTTACTGAACACAACCTGACACTTGCCATCAGGCTGCAATTCACACTCCAAATGTCCTGTCTGTACCCTGTAGACAAATTAACCAGGTAAGAAATGTGATCCTACATAAAAAACAAGCAGCACAAGACCCAGATGAGGCTCTGCAGGGTCAGGTGGAGGCACAAGCAGCTAAGTCAGCAGGAACAGGGTGCTGCAAAAACAGAACAAGACTTGTCCCTGCTATACAACCAGCACTCTCCACCATGAACAAAAAACACACAAAACCCCCTAAAAGTCACACCCACCCACCAGCATAAACCACCTACAATGACCCATGTCAAAAGGAAAAAAAAAAAAACCTAACCAACACCCAACCAAAAAAACCACCCCTACTTAACCTCCTTCTTCCCCAAACAAACCAAAAAAGCCCCCCAAACAAAATCAAAACCAAATCTAACCACTCATGAAGTCATGGAACTAGAATCTAACTGGAATTTCTGGCTTGATTGCTCTTACGAAATGGGAGTCACACCGATAGGGTAAAAAAGAGGATTTCAGATTGCTTAACGTTTGTTCTTTAACCAGTGTTATCTTCACCCTTTGCTTATTTCCACACAGCATTGCTTCCCTCAAGTGCTGGGGCAGCAACTTCACAGCCACCAGCTGGCACAGAGCAGGAAATGGCTGCAATGGAACCTGACATTCCTTCTGCTGCCCCCAGTTATTTTTAATCTGGATCAGATCACTGCCCAGCCACTCTGCACAGCCACACCACTGCAGCTAAAGTAAGTGACTGGTAGAAAGGCTCCTGCCTGAAGTGAGGACATCTGATAGAAACTATTTGGTCGACATGATTTATGGTAAGTACCTAAGCCCCAGAACTGGATTGTCCCACTGTGTGATAGGGAAAATGAAGCTACAAACACCTTTCCTTCCTTCTTTCGAAGTTTACATCAGAAGATCCTCTGCAAATGCAGATTCTGTGTAATTGTGAAAGTTGTCACAATTTACATTGAGATGGTAGGCTATGAAGGGCAAAAAATAAACATAGAGCACTCCAGGCTCTAATTCACACATCACTCTTTAAGGCCTTCAATCCTATGCAGCAAACTCAGCATTATTTGAACAAGAAGACTGGAGTGGGAGGGGAAAAATGTATTTCTCTTAGGATTACACCCCGACTTCTTCCACAACCCTCCCCCTCACCAAGAGGTAAGATTTTTACTTTAAAGTCACAAAGAACATAACACTTTACATATCAAATTACAGTGTTTGGCTAAAACACTTTGGTCAAGTCAAAGAAAAAAAAAACCAAAAAAAGAAAAAAAACCCCAAAAAAAACCCAAAAAAACCCCACCAATGAAACAGAGTGCATTATTTTTGGGTAAGATAATGAAATTTATTTTGGAGAGCATCTTTACTCACACAGAGTTTTCAATTTAACCCTACTCAACAGCAATACCAGCCTCTTCCTTCTAATTACAGGAAAAAAAGCATCCTTAAAACTGAGAAATATATGAGTTATCTGCCTTACACACTGACATGCAGAAGGATATATGAAATTTGCATTTGGTCAAATAGTCAGAGAAGACATGTAATTCCATCTGAAAAGATAAAACTAGATCAAGACAAGTACATAAGTGGATTTTTTCTGAGCCTCTGTGATGTTGTCATCAAAAAAAGCACTTATTGGGGCAGTGCTCTCTGTCCTTCCAATTATAATATACAAGTGTAATTTTGTTAAGCTGCTTGGGAAGCCAGACTAGAGAAGTCATCAGGGTCCAAGTCCAGATAATTTCCCCAGTTTAGTTCACTGCACAATTGTAAAAAACATGAGTGACACCAACACATGGAACAACCAGACAAAATTAATAATTGCCTGCACTGGCATTTTATCACTGAAAAAGGTTCAACACATGTCTAGTTATGAATGTCTTGATCAAAAGAGCATATCCTGATTTTCACAGGTATTTCTCAATAGACAAATCTTTCTTCTGTAGCTTTGGAACCTTGCAATGCGTTTCCTTATTCAGATGTATTCTGTTCTTTACTTCAGGTTTCTGCTTTCAAGTAATGTTAATTTGCTCTACCAAACTACTGGTTCAGCTAAATTAGAATGTCACAGCAAACAGCACACCTCCTTCAAAATCCAAGACACTGCCATGACAGGCAGATGGGGAAACTCAGGGTAACATCCACCTGTAGCCATTAGGTTCTTCAGTTGCCTACCAAGACTGAGAATTCCTGGGAAGAAGGCAGAAGGAAAGAGGCTAAGCACACTGCTCTAGCACAGTTCCTGGATGTTCAGCCACATTACTTGCCAATGAAATTCTGCTGGAGTTCGTACAAGTTCATAAAAGGGGAAAAAAAAGAGCTGATCTTCACAGCATTTAGCTCATTATCCCTTCTCCATAACCTCCTTTAGAAGTTACCAGGGGATGCAGACCAGAGCAGCCATGAAAGGGGAATTCAGGCAGGCTGTCAGGAGGTTTGTGCCCTGCACCTCATCCCTGGTGCTGCACGGAATTAAAGAGGCCTGACTTGATATCACAGATGCACTCTCTTCACGTGAAAAGAAAAGAAAAATACCCGACCCAGGTTTTCAGGGAGAACAGCTAAGGTACAAACAGCTCTCAAAATACACCACTTAGTTGCTAGGGGTTTTATTTACATTCAGTTCTAAAACAAACAAGTGAAATGCAATTTGTTTACATCAACTTGATGACTTTTAATGTCCCATGACATCTGGAAAACACAAGCATGGAAAAAACAGTGTCAAGCCTTTGGAAAAAAAAGATTGGCTATAGCACTGCTCAATAAAACCACATAGCCATCTGAACTGGAAGGACTGAGGAACCTGGTAGGGACAACCATTCTTTTTTTATTGCAAACATATCAGTAAGAAGATTATAGTAAACAAGTTCTGAATTAGCTTTGTTTCCCTGCCATTTACTCCAGATTAAAATACTATAAATTTTTACAAAAGACAAGGCTTGAAAACTGCTAAACCACAGAGGTAAAAAAAAAAAAAAAACAACCAAAAAAAAAAACCCACAACCTTTTTAATCTTCTCTCAGGGAACATAATTTCCCATATTCCACCCTGAGACTTCTGAACTTTAGCTGCAAGAAAAACAGAAGGGTAACATCAGCAAAACTGTATGTGTAGGAGAAACCAAAGTCCTTCTTAGTCATGGTGTCTCTCACTCCGAGATATTAATAATCCATCCCAAGGATATCATACTGGTATATTAAAACTCATTAACCAATCTATTTATCATATCAGATATTCAAAGGAGCAGCAAGAACTTATGGTACCAATTTTAAGCCTTCCAGTTTCCATAAACCAGCAGCATTTATGCACCAGCCATCATGTGCTAGCTCCTTATACTGAAGGGACTGTCTCCCAAAAGTTTTTCAGGCAGCATTTACTGTCACCCCTATGATGATTCAATTAAAAAAGCATGTGAACCAAAAAAAAAAAAAAAAAAAAGTGCAGTGTTACTCAAACAGAAACTGCTTTACCTACTACACTAAAAACCTGCATTTTGATATTTAACTTCTTCATCTCACTGTTGAGTTTTCTAGCTCATTTATAAAGGTAAACCAAAATTTAATAGTAAGAAACATATCTTCCTAAATATGAATATATCCTATCGAAATCAAACACAGAAATCCAAAATTTTTATCACAGGTTCTTAGAAGGGCAAGTCAAAATTGCTAATTTCATTTTAAAGTCTGACTAAAGATATTCTCCCTCCAACTTGAACAGTCCCATAAAAATTAATAAAGCAAGCAATGGGATAACTATCAGGATTAGGCAAAGAGAACAAAGAATGGAGATCCATTAGATCCAAGGCAAAGATTCCATTGTTTAATCTCAGATTAAAGCACATTAACCATTACAAAAGAGTAGCTTTAGCTTCTCACTCAGCCTGAGCATTTGCAAATAAATATATTCCCTCGACTCTCTGCACTGCAGGACACTGATGAACTTGACTGCTTCTGTACTATGGCAGTCGCTGTCTTCAATAAATCGATCCTGCATCTATACCTATTCCATTGCTGTCTCACAAATCCAATTTGCCTAATTGAGCCTTTCGATCTTCAGAAATTAGGAGGCAAACTTAAATAGAGGGAGCACTGACCTTGTGTCTCACTTAAAGCTGAGCTAAGCACGGTTCCCAGTCATTTCCTCATCACCAGCATCAAACATTAACCCGGGGATTCGCAGGCAAAACGCTCTGCCCGCAGCAGCACCCCGAGAGCGCAGCTGAACGCAGCTGCCCGAAGGGAAGCACTTAGCTGGGCATTAGCCAGAATTGATGTGGAGCAACAGCGAGCAGGGATGCTTTAAACACCGCGGGGCACGCGAGACAGACACAGCCAGCGAGCTCCCTGCCAAAGCCGAGCAGCGGCTCCTCATGCTGCTGCTGCAATCTGCCGCTGAAACAAATGGGGGGGAAAAGCAAGCAGAGGAGATATAAAAAAACTCAATCAAGATCTAGAGCCTCTTCCTTCCTAACCAAGGGATGGTCCTTTTTGCTTCCCCATGACTTGGAATTTATTTGCCCACAAACACGTTAAATGCAATTTATTAAATAAATAAATCTAAAAAAATCAGGAGACGCTAATCGATGTTAATCTCGGATTATCATTTGCTTTTATATTAACTAATATATGTCTCTATGTTCACAAAACTGTTTTAAATTCCTTTCTGCCTGCCAACCGACCAGCACTGTAGGTTTAAAAATAGTCCATCTGGCAAGATTTAAAACACGCAGTACGGCTTGCATAACCCCAGAAAGAAGATTTATCAGAAATATAGTTTCAAGGAAAACACGGGTAGGAAATGACGCAGCACACAGAACCTCTACGTGACACAGGCAGGGCTACTTCGCACATTCTGCAACATGTTCTCCGGTTTAATCAATAGTTTTCGCTATATCAATCACGAGTTAATTCCCAATTTCAAATTTCGATTGAGACGCACAACAATTTAAATTACGTCGCGTTTCCTGCTTTGTCGCGCTTTGCGGAACGCGGCTGCAGGACTTCCTTTTACACCGCGTCCTTCGCGCCGTGCACTGCGGGCCCGTTCCCGCACAACACCACGGCTCCCGGCGAGGCGGCGGGACCGCTCCCGGCGTCTCGGCGGCCGCTAGGCCGCAGGGAACACTCTCGCACGAGGCCGCGGCTGGAGAGAGGCCGCGACCCGCACCGCCCCCACCGACGGGCCCGGCCGGCGGCGCCGCCACCTCCGCCGGCAGCCCCGCCCGGGGCCGCTCCCGTTCACCGCCCCCGGGAACGCGCGCGGGGCGGGGCCGGCGCGCGCCGCGGGCGGGCGCGCGCCGCGCGTACGTGACCGTGGGGGGAGGGGCGGTGAGGGGGGGCGGCGGCAGTGAGGGAAAGGCCCCGGGTCAGAGGAGGGGACACTGCGGGAAGAAGGGACGGGAAAAGAAAAGAAAAGAAGGACAAGGAAGGGCGGCCGCGCCTGCCCACCTCCCTCCCCCTCCCCACCCGCCGCTGACGGCGCGTACCTGCAGGTGACCTGCTTGGTCCAACCGCCTCCCCCAGGCCCCGCGGATGGCGGCGGCACGGCCGCGAAGTCGAAGGCGACAGCCGCCGCTCCCGCGGGCGCCGCGGGCGACCCCAGGGCCGCGGCCGCCGCGCCCGCCGTTGTCTCCAGCGCCGCCACCGCCTCCGCCATTACTGTTTATCCCGCAGAGCGGCGGCAGCGCCGGAACTTCCGGGAGCGGATCTTTCCGGCCGCGCGGGGCGGGGCGCGGGCGCGGCCCCGCCCCCCCGGGCCGAGCGGCGGCTCCCGTTGGCCGAGCGGGACGGGCGCGCGCGAACGCGCGGGGGGCGGGGCCGCGCCGGTGCTGCCCTCGCGCGGCCGCAGGCACCGCGCGCGCCCCCGCGGCGCCGCCGGGAGCGCGCCCCCGTGGCGCGGCCCCGCGCCCGGGCACGGGGCTGGGCTCGCCCCGCCGGGATCAGGCCAGCGGGAAAGGGTCTTTTCCAGAAGGGAACGACACGGAACGGCGACGTGGCGCCGGCGGGGGGCGGAGGGCAGAACGGGACAGTGGCGCCGCAAAGGCCCAGCCCGAAAGTTGGCACTGAGCCACCCGGTGCGGCGCTAATGGGGTGAGAAACATCGCGTCCTTCTGCTGTAGGATCTCCCTCACTGCACATATTCCACAACCCTCTGGACGCAATCCCGTGTCGTGTGACCTACGACTGTTCCCTGCTTGAGGAGGGAGGTTGGGCCAGGTGATGGTCCCACCGAGCCGACCTGTTCTGTGGTTCTGTAATAAATCTTGGTTGTGAAACTAATGTTTGCCTGATCCACATGGTGCCCTTGGCTTCCTACTGCCAAGAACCTTAAGCCAAGTACTAAACACATTTCAAAAAGATAGTGGCAAGCTGGGGCGCAGGGGCAAGGTGAAGGCTGTCAGTGCAGTGTTACTGCTATTTTGCCTCTCCTTGAAAATACATTAATAAATCAAATGTATCCAGGCCATCAGTCACTCCGGAAAATACCAAAATGAAGCCTTTACTCTAAACATAGGCACTAGGACAGTGCCCTAAGATGCTGGACTTTAGGAAGAGCACAGGAGAGAAGAGATAAATCCGTTTTCAGATTTCCTTGAAACAATTACTTCAGTGCCCTCAAACTACCTAAGGAATGAGGCAATGGGAATGCTTGCTGGCATTTTCTGGAATATGCAGAATCCAGACCTGGGCAAACAGAGCTCTGAATTAAAAGGAGGTGAAATAAACATATCAATTTTAACAGGCTTCAAAACAAGGTACAGGTATGCATAAAACAAAAAAAAAGTCTAGTTCTTGGAGTGAATTTGAACTTCAACAATCTTGGAATGGACAACTTCTTTGAATGATTGTATAAGGCCAGTCTTCATCCAGGACAAGGAGCACCCAAAGAATGACCTTGATCCAGGCTCTCTGTGCAGCAGACTCCCTCCTGATATTATCTGCACAGTGATCAATGCCAAATAGCTCATAAATTCAGTTCAATAAATCCCTGTTAGGAGAAAGCTTGATGTTCAATGGAAAACTGTCCCATGAGATACCTTTTTAGTATCTAAAACAAGAAACTTATTTTCTGCACCTGGTTCCCTCACAGAGCATTTTTCATGCAATGTTCAGCACTGAAATAAATAAGTTCAATAATCAAGTGCACCAGGTGTGTACGTTCAGTCTTGCATTCTGTTAGAAACAGGTGGACAAAAAAATACTTCACATTAGGAAAAAAAAAATCAAATACTTTTAAGCCATTAAGATAATCTGGGAAGTTGTTTTGGATCCATTAGAATGATCATGAAAATCTGGTGATGAAAGTGGAAGGTTGTCAAGACAGTTAAAGAGGTTAAGTCACTAAAGAGTGATAGACCTTCATATTGGTTAGATTGTTGCCCTGACAAGACAGTTCCAGGCACCACAGTTGTCACTAAGGTAAAATAAGTTACTGGTTAAATGTCTTCTGTATGATTCTTCATGTCCCTAAGAGGTCTCCTGAATACTGGCAGCCTAGAAACAAGCTTCAGAAACAGAGAAACCAATGAGCAAATCTCAGCCTAACAACTGTAAACAGACTCTTAGAAATCAGGTGCACAGGGGAAGGAAAATAGTGTCCCATGGTGGACATGACAGAGTGACAAAAGTAATGTGGAGTTTCCCATTTCCTTAATGCCTCTGGCAGTGACACCCCTGAGAGAGGAAAGGTTTCAGGGGAGATAAACCCTAGGAATCACTCAGAAAGAAAAATGCCAGGGTGGCCATAGGGTCCAGCTCCCAAGGAGCAGTAGGAATTTGCCATGGCAATTTCTTTGTTCCCAGCTGCTCCCATTTTACTCAGGAACCTGTTTAATATTAACTTCTACTTCTGAGGCCCAGAGGGGGAAATAGCAGCAGCAAGCTCTGGGTCAGGGGCAGACAGGACTGCAAAGGCAGCTAACACTGCAGCGGGCAGGGGAGTGAGTTATACACTGCCCCACACTTACACACAAACCTGTCTCCAGCTCTTCTCCGGGGCTTTCTCTCCTGCCAGTCCCCTATGGCTGCTTCCAAACCCCATCATCGCTATTGTCAGCCATATACCACACTGCAAAAGCCTGCTGGGAGCAATTCCAGAGCTGGGATAGGCACAAGACTGAAGTAGTGCCCTCAGAGACCTGTTTGACCTGCCCCATTTTGTCTTAGAGACCTACAGGTTCATGTTGGAAAGCTGAGCTAAAAATCCAACAGGCTGATTTTCTATTGGATTTAAGGAAAAAAATGACAAATGAAGCAAAACATCCTTACCCCTGACTTACCTAATATGACAGGCTGGATTTGGGTGCCCATTGCATAAACTCACCTTGAGATAATGTTGAGAACTGGAAACAAAGTGACCAGCTTGGTTACTAAGCCATCTTGCCTGAGAGTATGTCAAAAACATGATGGTCCAGATAGATTCCTACAATACTGCAATCTTTTCAAGTAGATTTAATAGAAAATAAAATTACATCATTATAATTTGTGTGTATTCTTAAAAAATGTTATTTTACCTATACATTTTCTTTCCAATACATCTAGCTACCCATCCACCCAGAAAAAATACATTGTTCACAAAATCTTCAGCATCCATTATAGTATCTGAGGATGCAATCCATCATTCCTGCAATTAAATTCTCTCCAGACTGGGTAGTAAAAGTCAGAGGCAGATTGTCTTTTTAACTCAGCAAGCTTTGTTTGAAGTTTCCTTGGATGTGTTTAGTTGAAGAGACTGGAAGGATGTAGAAAGTAAGACACAATTTGTTACTGCTGGGTTAAACAGAAGTTGAAAGAAATTTCTTTTGAAAGGGACGAGTGTAAAGTGCAAATACTGCTTTAACAATCTATGTTTTACAATTTCCTGATTAATGGATTGCAGTAAAGTCAGTTCCCTGACACTGATTACTTCAGCCAATACATTAGTAATTACTTCAGCTAGTTTTATGTTGTGCATGGAAGCTGCACAGAATCATGTCTGCCTTTTAACCTGTAAATCAGTTCCTTCATGGCTGTCTAAATCTCAGCTATGATATTTTCTGCAGAATATAAAACTGAAACATGTACAATAGCAGTGCATTAGATATCAAAATATTGTGGCTTTTTTAGGGGGGGACAAACATTAATTTCACAGTCCTTGTTCAAAGTTGCTCTTGAACTGCTAGAATGGATTGTCTTTATAGGAGGAGATTACGATAGTTTTTGCTGTGAGCTCAACTCATGTTCTGCGTGTAGCCAGGTATCTGCATCATAAAAAACATGGCCACAACTGTCTTTAGACCTACAGATTTCGTTGCTGGAGAGGCCAAGAGCTGAGTAGAGTTCTCACCCTGGGAAGAAAGAGCTTTAACAGCTGCATTTAGCAAAATTGTGGGGGAGGCATGAATGTGATTCCTCTGCTTTTTAGGAATAAGCACAAAGGGGCTCAGTCTGCAAAGGCATTGTTTTAGCGAGCAAGGAATTCACCAATTTAAAAAAAATCTAATAGGAAAGGAATCTGAAAAATGAGAAAAGTCTTTTAAAGAGCAAGGGGAAAATCTGGCTCTGCGTGAACAAAAATAATCACAGAAGCTTTCCTGGCCCTGCCGTGAAGTGGCCCCCTGCACCCTGGGCAGGGAGCAGTTGTGGAGCTCAGCTGTGCCTGTGGTTAATAATAAATAGATTCTCTTGGCTAGGAGTTCTGGCCAGCACACCCCCTCCTCTGCCTCCTCCCAGGGCTGCCCAGGCACCGCTCCAGTACCACCCAGCCTCCCTCCATGAGACAGACACCCAAGGTAAGAGACACCAGGCCATTGCTCCATGAGCTCGGATATGCAGCGTGGGTCACAGGGGGGCGGGAGGAGAGCAGGTCCATTCTCCAGCTGCCTGAAACGTGCACTAGGAATGTGCAAAGTTTGGTTACAAGGCAAAAGGTTGTATGGGTCTTGCAGCAAAACTTGCCAAGCTTCAAAAATCTTTGAGCCAGCTCAAGCTGGATGTTGGCCAAGCTTTCCATGAATATCAGCTCAGCCTTGTTGAGTTTCAGGTGGTCACCAGCTGGTTTTTATCCACTGGCCAGTACAGCTTGGGTGCTCCTTGGTGTTGTGCTTCTGAGTTTGGGGAGTTGTTAAAATTCAGAGCACAACTCGAGCAGCTCAACCGATGCCTGGCATAACCCTGTTGACTTAATGAATTTATTCTGAAGCTGACTTTGTCCCAGAGAGTGAGGGGTGTGTAGGCACACACACAGCTACACCAGAACATTTGCATGAACCCATGAACAGCTCAAGCTGCTGAGCTTAGCACAAAAAGGATTTGGAAGGTGGAAAATCTTAGTGTTTCAGTCAGGTGTGTATTGTGTCTAGTTGATCCAGTCCCACATTTCTTAAATAGCACAGCCCAAGCTGTCCTGTATAGTTGAAGTCTTTAGATTTGGGCAAATACACTCTCCCTGGGTATAAGAATTTTCTATATAGCTGAAGTGCCACACACCGTACTGAGAGCAGAGACATGTTCTGCCAACTGTAATGTGAACACAGTACTGTTTTTTAATTAATTTGCCATCTGCATTAACAATAGGCACAAAGAACTGAGGAAGAGGATTCTTTCCTCCTAGTGAAGGGGTGAGGAGCAGGGAGACTGGAGGGACATGGCCAAAAGCCCAAGGAAAGTATGTGAAGCAGCCAGGCATTGAGTGAAACTGCCCTGAGGCCCAGACCAGACCACTCTCTTAACATTTATAGCTCTCTCCCCCTCTTTCTCTGTTTGGGAATGAATTTAATTAGAGTGAAAAGGAGTTGCTAAGAGACAAGAGGAGTTCTGGAGTTTGTTGCTGGGGCTGAATTGCCTCTCTGCTTCCAAGGCACAGTGCTAAAAAGGATGATGTAACATGAGCCTGCATAAAGCTCTAGGGAAAGCTGCTCTCTCCTCCTTGCTGTTCCAGTCTAGTTTGTCAGTTCTCAGCTCCTTTTTGAGCTGTTTCTTTTCTCCTAGACACCGGCAAAAAACAGGTTCCTATCCCTATAGTACTAGTCTGCCTTGTAGATACCTCCTTGTGACCTTTCATGTTCGAGGTGGCAGTGGCTGGGCCTTACATCTATCATGAGCAGGTCACTTTGGAATGTAAAAGGTTTTCTGCTTCAGAATTCTCCCTAGTTTGTTACTCTTTCCTCTGCTCCACCACGATTTCAGCCCAGCATTGACAATGGGTCAGGTGATCCTTCCAACTCCATTTCTGCAGCTTAACATTTTGTTTTGTCACCCTGGCTCATGCCCAAAACACCAGGAGATTCCAGGCAATCTCTTAGGCAAGGGCTGTCTACCTTCCAAAGTTTAGCTTCATAGGGTCACATCATTGCTAAATTATAGCTTTCCTTTTCACCTGACCTCTGTTATCTCAGGACCATTCATACACACAAGATGATTAGGAAGATAACCTTCAGCATGGGAAGACATGTGTCCTCCATGGCACGTGGGGCCACCCAGGTGAGAAGACTTCTGCATGGTGAGTAGTGCAGTTCCTTGGTGCTCCCACTCTTATAAAACATATTTCCATCTTTAGGTGTTGTTGCAGGGCTCAGTTTGTTCACAGTAACGTTCAAGTGGAATAACAGTAACCATACAACTGCAAAAATGGTGGCAGAGGATCATTCAGTGATGGTGATGAAGATTATAATTCATATTAACAGTAGAGATATTTTGCACACATTTCACTTACATAAAACACAGCTCCAGTCTTCTAAAAGTTATTTGTAAATTCCCCCCAAAGAACAGCTGAAGAGGGGGATAAATTTGTTGTGATGACGACAATTTGCTTTTTATAAAACAGCTCAGTAGTTGCTGCAAATACCCACACAAATAACTCACTCTTCTGTGTTTATCTCCAGGTGGTTATGTCAGGATTCACCCATCTGTACAGGAAGCTCTGGTGGAGGGGAGACCCGTGGTAGCCTTGGAAAGCACCATCATTACACATGGCATGGCCTATCCTCTCAACTTGAGGTGGTGGATTTTAATGTTCCTCATTCAGGGAAGTTGTAAGAATGGAGCACATAACTTACTGGATTGCTATCAATATTCTTGGTCAAGTCAGAGCTGTTGCAAGAGCAAATGGAAATGTCAGGTTGTTAGGCATTCAGGCTGTGAGCTCAAGTGTAAAACAATTGTATTTGGACTTTTAAGGACAAATACGGAGAGCTTAGTTATCTTCTTATCCAACATCTTAAATTTATAGATGAAGAGCGTAGTTATCTCCTTATCCAGCACCTTAAATTTCTAGCTTCATTTAAAATAGAGCAGCAGATAATATCACCACTTGCTCTAAAAAAGAGCTATCAGCCTTTTCAGCTGCATCATTTGTACAGACACTGAACACTCTACAGTTTCTTTTCCTGTATCTTTTGTAATGCAAAAAGGATTGAAATACAATAATGAAATCTGTTCCTTAGCCCACTCATAGCAGCTACTGTGAGAGCTCATGGTTCCTTCTCACTGTCTTCTGTACCCTGCATGGAACCCCTGACCTCTACTCTTTATTTATCAATTTTCAGTAGACTTGTGTTTCATTGAGTTGCAGTGCCAGAAATCATTGCACTCTCCCCTCCATCCTTGCTACCAGAAAGCGCAAAAAGGTTTTGGTATTGATTTTCCATCTTGCTTTTTACCTGGCCATTATTCTGCCTGACATTCTCTCTTAAAATGAAGCTCTAAAACTTGATTTTTGGGAAGAGGTAGTTTCAGTAGTTAAAGATTGCCAAGCATATGTCCAGATAGCTCAGAAAGGAAGAAGAAGCTGGTCCTAAAAAAAGATAGTGTGTGAATGATCAAGTACAAAATCTGCTAAACTTTGGCTTAGTCTGCAGCCCTGGATTACCCTAAGGCAGCAGACTTTTTGGCACTGTTGTTACTCTATATCTCACTGACTGTATTTTGAAAAATATATCCTGTTGATTTGAGCAGGACTTGAACTACCTGGGGTTTCTGTGAAGGTCTATTATGTCAGAGAAATATCAGGCAAAAGATACAGAAAAGTCCTATTTTGAGAAGATCCCTATTTTCAGTTGCACCACCAGATTTGCTTGTAAACCAAATGTTTTTTCTTAAAAATGAAGCACAGAGCTTGGACATTGCCATCCTTGAAAATGGGATCTCTTCGCTTCTGCAAGTTCAAGGGCAAAGATTTCTGCCATGAGGCAGATACAAGAACAGGATGTAGCTGAAATCACAAGAACTGTAGAACTGTGAATGATGCTCATCAAACATGACAGTTTTCTTTCCTGATTGTTTCCATCCATAATTTTGTGATTCTGGTTGTGTTTGTCTTACTTCAGCATGGCCAGAGAGGTGGAAGAAATTGTGAGAACAAATGGAGCAGTGCCAGCCACTGTAGGTATTTTAAGGGGCCAAATCCACGTGGGACTCACAGATGAGGAACTTGAATTCTTGGCAAGCAGTAAAAATACAGTTAAAGTGTCTCGCAGAGATTTTCCTTTTGTCCTCAGCCAGGTATGGTGTGCAAACTTTCTAGTGTGGTCTTTCCTACTAAAGTATAGCTGCCTTTCTAGCAACAGAATAGTGCTCTCCAGCTTCAGGCCATTTGGCTTTTAAACCTCTCAAAAATATAATGGAAAGTTGTATCTTATTGGTAAGTGCAAAAGTGGCCCTAACTAGACTCAAAATACATCAGAGTAAGGGAATGACATACATGAAAGAGGGCTTCTGAAAAGTCATTCTGGTTGTGCTGGCAAGCTATAGGCGCTTGGCTAAGAATATTCAGTTTGGCATGATAGGACATTCTCTCATGTCACATTCTCTATGTGACACTTAGGCCATCCCAGGCTCAATGTGATGGATAAATGTGCCACTAGCTGCCTGTGGAACACCCTGGACAACAAAGGTCTCTGCTATCAGGTCAAGAGCAGCTTATATAGCAGGGATGACAGGTGATTCACAGAATCACAGAATATTCTGAGTTGGAAGGGACCCACAGGGACTAGTGGGTCCAGCTCCTAAGTGAATTCCTCTGCCTTTTTGGCTAAAAGAGTATTTGTGTTAGAATTTCCCTGCTCAGCTGCTCACACTGCTTTGTGGCAGACCACAGCTGTAGCTGCTTCTCCATGTTACCCTGAGTGCTGACTGTGACTGGCTGTTCCCCAACAGGGCTTGTCCGGTGGCACTACCGTGTCTGGAACAATGATCGCAGCACACAAAGCAGGAATTCCTGTGTTTGTGACAGGTGGCATAGGAGGTGTCCATCGGGATGGGGAGAACAGTAAGAACATCAATGCATTCTACTTTTCACTCTGTTGCTACAGTTTCATTCAATTCCTGCTTTTTCCTTTTTCCCAGCCTGTCCTACAGTAACTATCTGTTCAGAAGAATAAAGTTAACATTCTTCTTGATCAAGCTTTTTCCCTGATGTCCCCTTTCCAGAAGCTTCCAAATATTCCTCTTGAGCCTTGGACAGTTGTTAAGGCAGCAGAAGTTTCTCTTTATCCTTTGCTTACACGGGATTATATTGATATTGTTTGGTGCAACAAGAGCTGACTGCACCTCTGCCTGTTTGTAACAGCTGCATAACCTAATACTGGCTGCCAAGCACAGTGTTGTTATCAGCTCTCTCGGCTGAGGAGAAGAGCCTTGCCACAAAAGAGTGTGTTCTGTGTTAGAGGTGTGTACTCCTCTCTGGAAGATGGCCCAGTCTTGGCTGTACAGTTTGTGGCTTTTAAGTGCATTCTCTCTTCTCAGCTGCATATATTTCCAGCACAGTGTAGTGCAGTGCCAAGTGCAGTGCCCTGTTGTATGCCATCCCTTTCAGATGTGATATAAATTCCAGACCAGGGAGTCTCCTGAGATCAGCTCCTGTGGTACTTTCTTTTTTTTGCAAGCATTGTCAGTGGCAAACTCAAAATCTTCTTCAATGATATTGCATCACCTTGAACTTCACCCTTGCCATACAACGCCTTTTTCTTTCTTTTCTACCAAATTTTTGCATACTCTTTATCAGTGTGATCAAAGAGCCAAGAGATAGAGTACAAGGCTGCACCTCTGCCCTTAGCCACGTAACTTATTTTTGTCAATACCTCCTTCAATCTCAACACCTAAAGTAATGATCTAAACCTTTAATATTTGCTTGTGGATCTAAACAGTTTTAAAGTCAGGCAGTGGCATCCTGGGTATATGTGGCTTTTTAGGAGGTCAGAGCTCATCAGCTTGGATTACAATACAATCACCAACTCAGTGCTGCTTGTCCCTTGGCAGCTCTGGATGTGAGTGCTGACCTGACAGAGCTCGGACGAACACCGGTGGCTGTTGTATCCGCAGGAGCCAAGTCTATCCTCGATATTGGCAGGACACTGGAATATCTGGTAGGTAGCATGGGCTGTGGTGTCAAAGCAGATAAGGTTCTTTGTGCACAGAGTGCCCAGTGGCATTGGGATGGGTCCTAAGCCAAAGATTTTCAGGAATAGCTACTGAGAGGATGTGAAGCCATACTTACAGTTCTGCAGACCTGGGACTGTACAAACACTTGGCTGCTCCCTAACATAAACCCATCCATGTACAAGGGGCTGTTCCAGCAGCTGCTCCAACTGAGGTCGAAGGTAGTGCTATCCATGTCCTTCTTCTTTGGCATTAGATTTGCTTTTCGGGGATGATGCTCCCAGAAACTGACAGATCAGGAAAGCTAGATCCATCAAACACTAAAATAAAACCAGAATCAAAAAGGGAATCAGATGATTTGCAGCAGTCACCTTTTAATGTTTGGCATGCTGGCAGGGCTAGCACTTTAGATGACAGCCAACATTGATATTTCTCAATCACAAGCAGAACTCGTTTATATCCTGTCAGTTCATGACATGTCTTCAGATCCCAGGGTGTTATCTTGGACTCAGGATAGTGCCAATGACAGCTGCATGGCTTTGGATCAGCCCCAAGCTAACACAAAGGATGCACATGCCTCCGCTGCCTCAGTGAGCCAGATCTGATCTAGCCACTTACCATGTCTGGCTCCTGGTGAGAGGATAGAATAGAACAGGCTGTACAAAAATAACCACGACCTGTGCCGAAGAAAGGCAGCTTCTTTCTGGATAGGAGGAAAAAGTCCCATTCTTTAGTTTCCCTCCACCAATCACCTGCTTGTCTCACCTTCACTGCTGCAGGAGACTCAGGGTGTGTGCGTGGCTGCCTTTGGAGAATCAAGAGAGTTCCCAGCCTTCTTCTCACATCAGAGTGGCTTCCAAGCACCATACAATGTCCAGGATGAAGAGGAGGCAGCTAAACTCATTGGTGTGTTTCAGATGGCAAAGGCCCGTGTAAGGTCCTGGAAAGGAGGGACACAAGAATTACCCTGGACGAGGCACTTTCTTTAAGTCTACAGAAGAATTTGCCCTGGAAAACTGTGCCATCCCACCTCCCCCATTCCTGCATCAAAAGTGCTTCGAAAATACAGCAGCAGAGAGGTCCAGCCTTTACAGCAAGTAAAACTGCAAGCCAGCTGCAGCCAGCTTGGCATGCTCATTCATGTATTATTCCACCTGGTGAAGTGGAGGCAGCATGTAATAACATGTAGACAAAAACAGCTTCTGGGCCTTTAGAAGGGGAATCAGTTTAAAAAAGAAAAAAAGAGCCTTTTACTGTGCAGACAGACTCAAAAGAAATAGGCAGATGGGAATTGGTTAGGTAGCTGGAAAAGATCCTGATCTTGGGTCAGCTAAGAACTGGAGCTTGAGCTCTGAGGCTTCCTACACCTCATGCTCGCTCTCCTCTGTCCTTTTACTTCAGCACCTGACTTCTCCAAGGAGTGCCACTAACAATATTCCCATCCTCTCCCAGACAGTGCTCTGGGGCTGGGCCTGAGCAGCGGGGTGCTGATAGCAGTGCCCTGTCCCCAGGAGCAAGCTGCCGAGGGCCAGGCCATCGAAGAGGCCATCCAGCAAGCTCTCAGCCAAGCCAGGTGAGAAGCAACCTAAACCTTTGCCTTTGCTCAGCCCATGGTCTTGAGGCAGTAAACAAATTCAGGGACACTGCTGCAGGAGCTGTAGCACAGCTTAACCTTGGGCATGGGTGAGCCCACACTTATTTTCAACTGTACCTTTATCTAACCCAAAGCTTGTTTACAGGACTTGTTATGATATGTGGTTATGGAGATAAAGTATCTGCTGGCAACAGTGCTTCTCCTCTGATGCTGTTTCAGCTCATCTGTGGGCGTTTTCTTTATATTTGCAGGTCCAAAGGAATCAGAGGCAAAGAAGTGACCCCCTTTTTGTTACAGAAGCTCACAGAATTAACTGATGGGAAATCGCTGGACTCTAGTATCCTCTTACTAAATGGGGGGAAAAAAGAAAGTATTCCAGTCTATTTCCCATCTCTTCTGATAATGCCTGGTAGGAAACACCATCACTTTATTGACAGTCTAGCAAAGAGCAAACACTTCCGTATCTGCAAACAGATGAGCGTTTAGCACCTGCATCCTGATTTTTCAGGAACATCCTTACTGCCTTCATCCCCTTCTACATTAAAAACTTGAGGGCAGCACAGATGGCGGCTGGTCCACAGCCCAAAGAAATCCCTCACATCTGACCCTGGATCTTGCCTGCTCTGTGATGGAATCTCTGGATGCTGTTGTCTGTGCTGGGGTTGCACACTGGAAGGTCCCTGTTCCCAGCTGTGCTGTACATCACACTGCCTTATCCAGCCTTCCCGTGGGTACAGAGAAGGAGAGACCTGGGGGACAAACACCCCTGGGTGAGCAGGAATCCTACTGCACAGCCAAGAGAAAGAAGTACTGGCTGGGATGCCAGTGTAGGATCTGGGAGAGCCAGATGCTCATCCAGGCTCTGCTGCCAGCCCTCTAGGAGACTGACCAATCAGGGCAGAATGGTAAAGGTATTTTTGGATATAAGAGCTATATGCAGCCACAAAGTAGGGCTTTCAAAGACTCTGATACTCTGCTCCTGGTGCAATTTGCTAAAAAATATTGCTTATAGTGACTTGGCAAAATCTCAGTAGGTATCTCTTTCTGGAAAAGCTGACCAAGGTCCTCTAAGGTTTTTAGGGTCTCTGCTGTAATTTAAGTACTTCACCTTTTTTTTTCTCTGAGAAATCTTTGCTTCTATTCCCCTCTATTCCCCTCCTATCAAAGGCTTCCTCTCTGTGGACACTGGGGGAGGAAGGTGAATTAAAAAAAAAAAAGAAAGAAAAATCTGAGTTTTCATGCAGCATTGTAACTCACTATACTTGTTCCCAAAGGATTATGGTATGGGGGATCAAACCTATCAAGTCCCAGAATGTATTTCTACTTTCTTCCTCTAAACAGTTCCTACATAAGCTTCTAACAGATCAGACTCGCTAGAATTTTTAATTTTCCTCAAAGAAATGCTCAACAGACCTTGCACTGATCCAGAACAATGCCAGAGTGGGCAGCTGCATTGCAGTGGCCCTCAGCAAGCTACAGAAAGCCAGAAGGAATGGGAACCAGCCTGGGCGAAGGGACATGACCACACCAAAACCAGTGAGTCCTCTGCTGGCCTCCATGTGGTGCCTCTCTGCTGACAGCACAAGACAAATTTATATCTGTTCCCAAAAGTAAAAGATGACTCAGCCAGGAACCAATCATTCTCCTTCATGCTCTCAGACATTCTCCCTTTAGTTTCCCTTGTTATTCTTGAAAGATAAGTGCCTTCTCCTCCTCCCCTTATCCACATTTACAAGGAATAACACTGACAATGGCCTAATCTCATTAAGTCTTAGACCATAAAGGCTATTAAAACTTTCATCACCTTTTCACTTTTTACTGAGCCCTTATGTACAGCTTCATCTCTACAGCTCTTAGTACCAGGGAACTTGTGACTACAGGAATAGACCTGGAAGAGTGTGGGGAGAGATATTTTGAGCTGCTGAGCCATAAATATCTCTTTCTGTTGGCCTCCTGCTCATGATTGACAAAACCACAAGAGTTACAGCACATCCCAAACAAGATCTACTATAACCCTAATACTCCTCACTCTCTTGGATTCTGTCTGTGCCATGTAATTTGCAAGAAATCTATTTCAGGTGGTCTTTAGAGACATGAAAAGTTTTCTAAAATGCATTTGCAATAAGATTTGTCAACATAAAAGAGGGCAGTGACTCCAGAGGCAATAACCCAGCATTTGATGAGAAAAAGCATCTGTATGTCCCTAAAGAATCTGGAAACTTCCTGTTTCTGGAGCTAAACTGGTCATTCTGGCTTTGTAGGACAATAAAAGAAGTGACCTGTGTCACTGGGTATGGCAATTTCTCCTGGGAGCTTACAAGAAATTACTGCATTTTCCCGCCCACTTTTTCCCATTTTCTTTGCTTTTTTTACACACCAGTGCTTGAATGTTTCTGAGGCCTGGTATGTCACACAGAGAAATCATCAACATCCCTGTGTGTCCACTGCAACATCCCACCTGCCACACTGGGGCTGGCTGTCAGCAAGCATAATTCAGAAAGCAACAAAGAGAAGATATTTTGATTATTTTTGATTGGGATTGTACAAAACTGCATCTAACTGTTCAAAATAAGCACTGGCCCTTACACTGTAAATAAGTGAGCTTTCAAGAGGGTGGGAAAAGTGACTAGGTAAAGCAAAGAAGATTTGGAAACTTTTTCCTGAAGTACTTCCAACCACTTTTTATCTCTTTCTTCCCTCTTAAAGGTGGTGATTGGCGGTATCAACGTTGACTTTATAGCCAAGGCACAGAACTCTGAGATCCTGGTACTGTATCTCTAGCAGTTTTCTCAGCACCAATGTATTTCCAGCTGCTTTTACAGGAGTACCAAGCCACAGGGGTTGGGGGGAAGGTGTTATCCATGTATGATATCTACATGTGTGCATGCACACACCTGGGAGTGCTGCACACTTGGTGTGTTGTTTAGATGGATAATGGAGTGATATATACCAACCTACTCTGTCCCCATGGTGAAAATCACCATCCCTGACACTCAAGAGAGGGACAAAGCAATGTGACATTCATACAACCTCCCCACAGTGGGGAAACCCCCAGGTACCCATCTCTGGCTGTCTGAGACTGTCTTAACTATGGGAAGCAGCACAAATAGGAGCAAGAGTCTTTGTGAAGAGTACTCATGAAGGATTTGAGTCTCATACACTCGCACAAAAAAACGGCAAAAAAAGGGGAAAAAAAACAAACCAAACAAACAAAAAAAACCCCAAAGATGGCTTTAAAAATAGAACTTTAAATGTTACCAGACTCCCTTTGTCTCAATTTGGGTTGAACAAGAAGCAAACAAACTAAAGTGGACCAAAGCTGGGACTTCCCCATGCAAATGACAGCTATTTGCATGGCCTATACAATTTTTGTCAAGCTTTACCAAGTACTGCAGATTGAGGTGGGGAAACTTGCTCAAAAATTCTTTGGTTTTTCTCAAATTACTCTGTGATGATAGCCAAGGCAGGAAGCTTCTGCCATCAGATGGGACAGCCTATGAAGACCTCTCAGTCAGATAGGGAAAATGTGCTGGGGAAGCTGTCTGTAAGGAATTTGGCTATTTAATATAGTAGGGGCCAAACAATGTTATAATGGTCAAGGGTGAAATATGCTGTGGCATCAGTTATGAAAGCTTGCAAAAGCAGAAGTTCAGCTGCTTCAGCTGTGATGTAACCAATGCCATACACAGCCCACACTCAGCCATCAGTACAAGGAGCTGAGCTGTGTCCAAGGAAGGATAGGCACTCCTTGGCATGTCAGACATGAGTGCAGATTTCTGGACTACCTATAGCATGATGAGGGGGCCAAGGACCAGTGTAGGTCCTGCTGGGAACAGCTGACAAAGGGAAAAGGGGGCTATTAATGTTGCATAAAAAAGTGGGTTGTTAGCTGCCCTTCTGCCTTCAGTGAGCCCTGGAGCTCATGGTGCATCGAGGCTGGTACCCAAGTGCCAAGTCTTGGATTTTGGAACTGCCAGCCAGAAGGCTCCTGCTGACAGCTACTGTGGTTAGGCACAGAGGAAAAGCCCCTCTCAATATCACTGTTTTGGCTTTTTAAAGACAGATATTTTTTCAAAGGGCTCCACACCCAGCAGATCCCACGTTTAGGCCTGCTGGATTTGTTGCAGAGCAGTGGGTACCACTCCCTCTTCGTGCTGTCTCAGCAGGAAAGCTGCTGTATTCTGACCTGGTTATAATTCCCACATGGCTTTCACGGCTGCCCAGAAGCTAAATGCTTAATAAGTAACTATCTGACCTACTGAGGAGGATGAACAATTTTGCTCAGAGAAAGTTGCTGGAAAAACTATTATGGTTATCATTCTCTTAGGATACCCAGAAGTTGAGCAGAGTCTCTTTTTCACATTAAGAATTCAAATCTTTTAAGACATGGAAGAAGGTTCCAGAGACTGTCTCAATTCTCTGATACTTTGTCAGAAAGCATCAACCCAGCCTCATTTCAGATCACTTTTAGCAAGCCCATTTTCAACTAAATTCTTTAATCTGGGCCAGCCCCACACAAACCCAAGAAGAGATATTTGAATACCACTCAGAGTTACAACCAAGTTGGCAAGGTGGGAAGAGAGCCACTCATTTATTTTTCTTTAAAAGCAGCTGCTGGTTTCTCACTCACGGTACCCACCTGCTACTATAAAGAGAGATGTAGCATTTTTTTTTTTTGTGGGGTTCTATGACAGGAGAGGTCACCCACAGCTGGATCCCTGAGCAGGAGGCTGCTACATCTGCACTTAGGGCAAGGCTTGGCATAAAAAAGACACCCAGAGGCTCTGCCTCTGTGGTATATGGGGAACTAAAAGAGAGGATCAGCATGCCAGGCAGCAAAGGGGGCTAATGAGTATTTTCACCATTCCTGCAGGCATCAGTTTTAAAACACAGATAATGGAATTACATAAACCACAGTTTGTGCTTATTGCTGATGGCAGCTAGCACCCTCTTTAAAGACTGAACACTGGGGCCAGTGTTCAAAGCCATGTTGTTTGACTTGCTTAAGAAAGCACCCTTGCTTTGCATTTTTGGGTGCGAAGGTCTGGGTTTTTTTCCCCTTTGCTGCCTATATTACAGAGAATGAGCTTCAGAATTAAAATAGCTAGACTCACTTTGCTTTTGAAATCTGCAACTCTCGACAAGATACAGTTGCAGATGGAAATATCCTCATTCCCAACAGTACCAGTGGCAATTCCCAGGGAGCTCAAGAAAAGGCAAGGGAGGGGCATTTGACAAGGAGTGACATTTGCATTTGATGTTGAATGACAAGCAGTGCAAAGATGAACATAGGCCATCAGTTGGCTGCTTATGTAGAGGCAGTTCTGCTCAGGTGGCCTGAACAGTTTAGGGCTTGGAGAGCTGCTAGACAGAAAAGCCAAGGTATCAAAAATTAGCACCAGATCTTACAGACTACAGAAATGGGGAGAGGAAGAGCTAAAAACAGAGCCTGATGGTCAGATGAGAGAAATAAAAGATCATATTTAGATGGGAGAGCAGCTTCTCACATTGCTGGATGCAGGAGAAAGCCCCGTGTGCAAAGAACAGATGTGCAGCTTCACGCAGGGGAAGAAGAATCTTTGGGGAGCTTCAGAATGAATGTTGAGAATACCCAAGCACAGGGATTGTTGGGAGCAGAATATTCCTTACAGTGAGATGACAAGACATGTTCTTGGTTAGAATAGACAGTGGTATTTACAAGCAAGGAAAATGTTATGTTCCAGGCTGTTCTGGTGTACCTAGGCAGAGGGACTGGGCCAGGAGCTTCTGCATACAGGCATTAGGACTGCCAGTGGCAAGCTGTCTTCAAAGATGGAAAATAGTTTTCAGGATTTTGTAAAACAAGAGCTCTAAAACCATTTGATAGTCAGATGAAGCCCAAATTGATCTGACCACTAATTGATGCAATTTTTCTGGCAGAATTAGAATGGGATGGGTGAGCGACTGCCTGTGTTCTGACAATTTGTCTGTGACAGAAAGGCAGATGGGCAGCGGACTGGAAGGCAGAGGCAAGAGAAAAGAATTTGGTAGCCAAACATGTGGAAAAGAAGGGTATTTTTAATGAGGGAGATGTTTGGGAAGCAATGGGTTAGTGAAAAACTCTTCAGTCTCTGAAACAGATCCTTCCATGAATAAAGTACAGAGGCAGTACAGGCAAAGATAACAAATATGATTTTACATTTAAAGAGGGAAATAAATAACTCCCACAAACTGCTTAAGATGGGAGCTAAGTGGCCTGGAAGGCAGAGCTTCCGCAGCTTTGGAGTGCCAGGTTGTTGTGGGCAGGTGAATTCAGAGGGCTGCTCACACTGACTGAAACACTCATTAGCCATTCTAGGAGGTCTTAGCAAGTAAGACCAAACTAGCAATTCATGAGAAGGTCAAGTGGGTCTCCCTCCCTGAGGGAGACCAAACCCTCCTTGAAAGCAGGCCTTTGTCATCAAACAGAAGTCAGTAGATGGCTCTAGAAGTTTGTATTGCTCTCAGCCTGTGCGCTGGATGCTCTCTGCTCCCTCTGATTGCTGACCTATGTTTCAGCAGTATTAACTTCAGATGACAATGGAGACGTAGCAACTACGCCAAGCAGCCCTCCCAGTTTTGCCAATTAACTGTTCTTTCTTCCAGGGTGGTGGGCAAACAAATGCTGGAAGAGTGAGACGAACCTTTGGCGGTGTTGGAAGGAACTTGGCAGGTGCCTGGTGCTTGGGCTTGCCTGTGGGTGCATGCCAGCTGTGATCTGTCCTTTGGTATTCCTTCAAGAGCAGGAGAGGGTGAATGTTGACAAGATTTAGGACACATTAGGCAATATACTAGTGGGCAGACTGCCTGGAAAAGGCAGACCCCTTTCCAAGAAATAATAGTGGAGGGAGTTGAGATCAGGAAAAGGAAGGTCTGCAAATATGACGTTAACTAGCACATGGTGCAGTAACCCTGAATCAAAGTAAATAAGCGTCAGTATCTCCAATGACTACTGAGCAGCTTCGTATTTAATTCATGCCAGGATATAGACACAACAGAAGTATGCTTAGAGCAAGAAGTTGAAAGGAATAATCACAGTTCCAAACTGATAAACCTCATACCATGGACAAAAGGAACTGGGGTACAGGAGTTACTGTAGAAGAAGAAAGGTTACAGTCCTGTCCATGGGAAAGGAGCACACGGTACCTGTGGCTCCACCACAAGTAGCAGCAGACCAATATTCTTGTACTGAAGTTAACAGTTACAGAAATATTTTAGGATTATTCCAGCTTTTAGACATTTCCCAATCTCCTAACACATATCTACTGTCACTTCAGATCACTAATGAAGAAGCTTGAGTGGAAAAAATCCCCCAAAATACCCACACCACCCACAAAGGTACAATGTGTGATAACTTGAAAGGAGAGGAGGAAGGGTTTCCCATTAATACATTCAGATTCAGTGGTTCTAGTAAGATATCATGGTGGGAACAGCAGTGTGGGAGGGCCAGCACCAGAAAACGCTGTGCTCAGAAACAGCATGGGAAAACCCACATGCCTGTGATGGTAAAAGAGATAATGCCAGAAAAAAAGCAGAATTTGCTTCCCTCTCTTTTCCTCCACTCCCAGATGTTCCAGATAATCCTAAATTTCAGGGTGCTGGTTCAGCTCTCTGTAGGATACCTCACTCAGCCCTAAGCAGTCATTTGCAGCAGCTACAGCTCAATTTCATCTTGAACATCCTTCTAGGCAAGGACTGATGAGCATTAAGTTTTTCAGAAGAGGGCTTTCCTAGAGACACCCATGCTGCACTGGCTGTCACTGTGCTCACAGGACTCTGGTGGATTTGTTAACAGCTTTTGTTTCCATTTGCTTTTTAGACTGCTTGAGCCGTCTTGGACAAGCTCCTCTCCTTTTATCAGCCGTGGGAAAGGATGAGCATTTAGAGTCTGTCCTGCACTACTGCCACCACATGGTACGTGTCACAGAAGTAGCACCTCAGCATCTTGGAAAATATGACATCACACAGAGGGAAAATTCTTCCCAACCCTGGCAGACATCAGAACCACCTTCCATCAGGCTAAGAGTAGGAATAATTCAATGCTTCTTTAGCTACAGACAATTGGAAGGCAACGAACCACTTCTAAAACACAGGTTAGGTGTGTTTTGGAGTCTGAACCATGAGCTCAGAATTCAGCTCCAGAAAGTGGTGCTTGGATGAGGTAGAGGTAAATCAGGAGGAACCATGCACAATTCTAGTGAAGGCTAAGCATAGCGAGAAATATGCAAACCTTGAACTCAAGGACACACAAAGCATTGCCAAAACCAACCTGGTCTAGTTAAAGCCCAAGACAGAGAAAATGTGAAACTGAAATTGCAGGTTGGACACCTCCCTAGCTCAAAGGACAGGATCATCTCCAGAGCTGCATACACCACTTACCTGTGCATTGCGGAATACTTGACTTCAGCAGCAGCTTGTCCACAGGTCAGGGAGCTGGAGCAGCAGGAGCTCCCCAGGAGAGCAAGGCAGAATATCACCACCCCAGCAGGCAGCAAAAAAAAAAAAAAAAAAAGCAGCCAGGAGGGCAGCTCTAACCTAGGCCATTAGGCAACTCCATGGAGAAAAGGCAGGACTGAAGGCAAGGCAGGGTGTAAGTGCAGCCCCCAGCTGAGGCTGGTCAGGGTCACTGACTATTATTAGTGCCCTCATGATCCTGGGATCCAAACAGAGTCCATGGGGCCTTGGTTCTGGCTACCTGAGCGACTTGGCAAATGAAGAAATGAGAACATAAACTCTATTTTGGGTTGTAAAGGCTTCACCATGGCTGGCCTATAATGTCTTCTCTACACAGCAGTTTGTGCCATCCACGTGAGCAGTCTCCCAGGGGAGGAGGACTTGCTGGCCAGGCACCAAGCAATCCTTGCCTGTAACAAGATACATTCCCAGTGTGCTGGAGAGAAACCTTTCCCTAAAAACTCCAGCTTCCCTGTCAGTTCCTGAGATAGGTACATTTCTCCATCCACACGGTCTTTCCAAGATATGCCCTGCGTTCCCTAAGCAGATGGCTCCCAGGAGCCACAAAGGAAGGATGCCCCACAGCTCTCTGCTCCACTGCTGTAGAAATGGCTCCAGGGTGTGCTCAGAATCAGGCTGGGCAGTCAGTGAGGTGGCCAACACAAGTCACTGCTGTCTGCAGAGTGCCATCAAGAAATTACATCCCACACAAACTTGGGAATGGGTGACTGGAGCAGGCAGGGCTGCAGACCACTCTTCTGTTACAGGAAACACAACCTGTGGAACTGCATGGCAGAGTCCTGCCACTCATTTACTAAAGGATTGCTTGAACCTGCAGCATTTGTTGCATTGCAAATATTAACAAATAGCCATGTGCCAGCATTGTCTAGACTGAGATACCCCTGACAGGCTGCTTATCCCAAGGGAGAGCAGTGAGCTCCCACGGGAGACCAGGTGGGCACAAAAAGATTGAGCTGAGTGTGGCAGGGAAGAGGAATGTGCTCAGTGTGTTACTGTCTTCTCTGTTTCAGGACATGAGCGGTGTCCTTCAGCTGGAGGGGAGGAGCACAGCCACTTACTGTGCCGTGGTCACCAGTGCTGGGGAGCTCAGCGTTGGCTTGGGAGACATGGACATCCACCACCAGATAACAGAGCAATATGTATGCACTCCCTCAGATTTATGAGCTTTTTCTTGTGAGAAAGAGTGTGGGCTGTGACAAAAGGCCACTGGTGACGTTTGTACCAGGAGGGAATGGGTGTGCAGAGGGCATGGGAGATGCTGAGGTTAACCCTGGACACTGGCCACTGGCACAGAAGCATAACAAGCCACCAGAGCCCTCTATTACTGCTGACCCAGATGGAGTTTCTATCTGTTTCTGTTTATAAATATCACCACTACCATCATCCATGATATGTAGGCCAGAATCCTCTTCATTAACTTGTCCAAGTTGACTTATAATTTTGCATCTTAAAGCCAGCAAGAAATCAACCTGATTATAACTCTAACCTATGTTTCTTCCTTTAGGGAAAAACAGAAAAAAAAGTGGACAGAACACTGGTTAAAGCAAATTTTCCTGTTCCATCCCCTCCCTTCCATCCCTGTTGTTTCTACACGCTGAGTTGTATCAACAGAAACTGTTGCTCAGCACATCCAAACATTCAAAAACATCAGGGAAGCATAATGGCAGCAGTGATTAAAGAGTGATTCAGTGAAAGCCCTATCACTTCACCCTCCTTTCCTGCTCAGCCTTTTATTGACAGAACACAAGCTTCTGCTTTCATGACTGACAGCAACATGGAAGTTCAGTGCAATTTACTCACCAGTGGCATCTCCATGAGGTGGAGCCTTCCTAGGGAAAAATCTGGTTTTACTCCCACTTCCATCCCCACCCTGCCTCCCCAAAGCCTTGGCACAGAAAACCATTACATGAGGGATTAATTCTTCTGAGCTTTAACAAGCAGCTGGGATCAGTGGAAATTCTGAACCAGTCTTGTGCTGCAAAGTGCATTTTGGCAGCCCCTCTTCCCACCAGGGCTGGCAGAGACACGGGGAGATGCTGCTCGAGTGCCCATAGCACTGGCCTGGCATCCCAGCAAGTGGTTGTTCAACCTCAGTGAGACAAAGGAGAGAACAGCAGCTCTCTACTCCACTGCTCCAGTGTAGCCCATCCCTGTGGGATCCAGGAGTCAAACACTGATGAACAGCCTGTCTTAGGAGACACTGTGCAGAGAGGACATCCAAATGGCACGCACAGCAAGCAAAGGTGGAGTCAAGCCAGGCATGGCCCAGGGAATCCTAGAGTGGCATTCAACAGCAGCATTCCATTTCCCTGTAGTGGTCCAGTGAGGACCATCAATTTTCTTTCTCTGCTGGAGGGGCCCTACCCCAGTTGAGTCCAGCTCCTAATGGCAGGAGCAGGGGAAGGAGAAGGGGAGGAGATGAGGTAAATGGGAAAATCCATTTTCTTTAGAGAATCACTCTTTTAGGTTCATGCCTGCACCTAAAGGCTGGAATACAAGTCAAAATCCTACATGAAGTCTGAGTAGCAATTATTTTGTCCTCCTGCAATGACTCAGGCTGTCTTTCCCGTGTGTCCTGGATTTTAACTAGGTGTTCCAGTTCAAGGAGAACCTGTGTCAGGCCCCACTTGTTTGCATTGATGGAAATGTGCCTCTCTCCACTATTCAGTACATCTGCCAACTAGCTAGAGAGCACCAGCTAGCAGGTAAGAACTTGCCCTCACAGCATGTGTGCCAAGACAGTCCAGGCACATCCCTGCTGCTTGCTGGAGATATCCACTTACTGTCTGACGTGCCAGGTTATTCAGCACGTCTTTCTGTACTCTGTCACTCTGCTTCAGATGTGAAAAACATTTTGGATTTCTCTGCAGTTTTCTTCTTTCTGCAGCTGAACCACATTTCCTGAGGCATAGTTGGTAAAGCCCTTGAGCACTGCCAGAAGGCCAGGGAATGCTGCTCTCTGAGCCTTTTAATCTCAATGCGAGTGGCAATTCGAGCACTTCTGCCAGTCTGAACAGCAATATAGTTTGCTTCTCAGAAAAAGCACTAAAGCATCTTTTGAGAGGAATTCTCTTCCATTCCCATAAAATAAGTGCCCCCCTCCACTGGTATGCTGGAGAATTTTCACAAGGCTTCCTAAACCTTTAGAGTTACACCTTGCTTTTTAAATCAAATCCCAAAGAAGGACACAGTGATGTAAAAACCTGGCAGAGGCTCCTAAACCAGCTAACTGGAGGAACAAAACTGGGGTCTGGTTATATCATCCAGAGACAGAAGCAGCTGGCTCATTGCTGGACACTGAGAAGGAAACCTTGGGAGACCTTGTCCCAAATTTGGGGGAAATAATATTTAAGTGACTCATAATTTAAAGGTGTAACTCTAGTTGTGCAGATTATGCTAAGTGTTCTACATTGCATCCTGCTCTGACACAGGGATAAACCACTAATTAATTAATTAACTAACCAATTGCATTGTTGTTTTGAAGTGTGCTATGAGCCAACAGACGAGAACAAGGCCTCTAAGCCATTCCTCTCAGACAGCTGGAAAGCACTCACGTACATTTCCCCCAACCTGCAAGAGCTGAGAGCAATAAATCGGACCCTCGGGAACCCTATGCCAGCAGGTATTGAATACTCAAAGGGTCAGTCAGACTTTTAGATAACCTAGATCCTGGAGAAGAGCATTTTCTTCTTCAGCCTCTAATACAGGCAAATTGGGTTATAACATAGTGGGGATTCATAAGTGCTCATGGTATCTTGCCCCTTACTGCCATCTCTCTCTGGGCTGTATGGACTGATGACCCATCAGAGGTCACAGTAGGCCTGGGACGGCTCCTTGCCCAAAACCAGAGGTCCCATTTGCCTCACTTCATCACCTAAACAGGAGTAATGTCTGGTTTGTCAACATGTCCCTGAATCATGGTGTTCAGAGGGCACCTGTTCCAGCAGTGCCACCCTTTGCAGAAATGACACACCCCACCAAATGTAGATGGAAATCCAGCAGCATTGAAACAAGGAAGCCATGCTTCAAGATAGCTTTTTGATCTCTATGTTTAGTCCCTTAAGAATTGGGTTCCTCAGCATAGAAGTACAGTGTGGAAGTCTAACTCTGGAGAATTCCATGTTTCCCATAATATAAAGAAAAAAATTTTACCAACTACATTTCAGAAGTGCCCATAAATAGTAGTAGAAGTGCTCATAAATAGGCTGTAAGCCCACAGATAGGCTGGTTGAGGACCTTTACAGTTAGAGCACATTTTTCCCTCCTCTCTCTCTGAAGAGTTGCCGTCCAGGTTGGAGGATGTTGTCCAGGCTGCAGTGGCCCTGGCCTGCCCTTTGCTGGCCCATCTGCACTGTGTGGTGGTGACCCTCGGCGCTCACGGCGTCCTCTTGTGCGGCAAGAGCCTGGGTGGGAGCATCTCCCTTTATCCAGGAGCTCACCAACAGGTAAGGGCATGGAAAACTAACTCTGAGCTCTCAATTGCTTCTTTCTTGGACCATATGGCACTGTTGCTATTTCTGGTGTCATGGCAGCAGTCCTGGGAAACATGGCATCACTGCTGGAAAATGTATGTGTTTGAGGGGGTGGAATACACAGCTCTGAAAGAAAATCAAGTTGTCTGTCCCTGTACTGCTGGCTCCTAGCAGCAGTGTTTAGAGTCAGCTGGAATTAAATGTGCTTATGTGAATATTCATGAGTGCAAGCTTCATTTGCAGGAAGCTTCATTTAAATGATCAAAGTGCAAAAAAAGATTATTGCCTTTTTTTTAGCCTTTTCTTTTTTTGCCATCCCTGCAGATCTGGCATCAGGTGCATCAGGCCTTACCAGCTTGGGCAATTCCCACTAACTTCCCTCCCCCCACAGGCTGCTGCTGCCAGGCTCTGTGCTGCCCACTACCCCGCCATCCCCATCAGCAGGGAGGAGATAGTCAACGTCTCAGGAGCTGGTGACAGGTATATTCTCGCTGCTTTGTCCTCTCCTGGTGCATGTGAAAGGGCCTTAATCGGATTCGTTTGAAATTCCACTGGAAAAGCAACTGCTGCTTGAGGGAGAGACACTAAGGATAAGACCAGGGCTGGTTACAGTGATTCCTTGCAAAGCTTGCTAAAAAAGTACCCTGAAGCATCTTGGAAGCCAGGCTTGTCTTTATTCGTTTTGCTTTTCTTCAGGATCCAAGCCTTTCCTGGCAATCTAAGAATTCTGAATTACTCCGGGCTGAGCTGCTAAAAGCAAAGTAAACCACCTTACATCAAGCTGTCTTACTAACTGCCTTACTTCCACACTTCTCCAATGGAAGTGGAACTGCCACTCAAGAGCTAAAATGGCCCTGTAAAAGCATTTCATCAGGTTCTGCATTTGCCTCTGGCAATTTTGAAGCTCTTGCTTCAAAAGAGTCTGCTGTATAATTGGCCTAGCTGTTCACACAATGCCATACATAGAAGTGGGAAATGACAGCTATTATTCCTAGCCCCAGTGATCAATTCTCAGTCTGTCAGAGTAATATTTTATTATGCTCCTTGTTAACTTGACAAACCATATGTAGCAGTCAGGTTGTTTTTTTTTTTTTTTTTCTTTCTTCATATGTTGCAATAATTGATTCTGTCTTTTCATTGTCTTGGGCTAGACCAAAAGTCCTTATGTGACAGATATTTCCTTTTCCCTTTCTACTCTTACCTAGCAATAACTCAACATGGCAACACTTTTTTCTCTAATCAGTGTCCAGAATGAGAAGGTTTTTGTGGTTTTGGATTTTTTTAAACATAGAGAGTCCTCAATATTTTACTTAAAATCAATCAATAACTTCTTGCCAAGCTGGTGAGCCCGCTTAGCACCAGGACATGCCGTTTGTGTCCCAGATCACCTCTGAGGTGAGCTGACTCAGCTGCAAGCTGGTCTTCTCCAAAGAAGACCAAATGGTTGTTTGAAGCAATAGGTGTAATAACAGCAGAGGAATGGGGGCTGGAGGAGTGTCATGGGGTCAGCCTGACCTAAGGAAAGCTCAGCTTTGCTCATTACCTCAGGCAGGTGACCCCAGCCAGCCCCTCCAGGGACACAGCCTCCCCTCTGCACCATCTGCTCGAAACACGAGCACTGCTTACTGCAGGACAAGTTTTTTTTTCTAGAGGTTAATTAAATGAAATGTTTTTTTTAGGGGTTCCTTTCCCATTTTAAAATTCAAGGGAAGATCAAAGGTGAGATAAAATGCACCACTGCCAACCACCTCCACTGAGTTACACTAGGGAACCTAGAAGCTTGTTTTTCCTTACAAACTTATCTGAAAGCTTGGGGGCTATTCCTGCTCCCATTCCTGAAGTAACATTGGTCTGGAAATTTCTCTCCCCAGAGTCCCCAAAGCCACATGGGGGAATTTTCATCCAGGGCTTTTCTTCTTAATAACCCCAACTGCTCTCCTGAACTCTGGAAATCCCTGTTCTAGAAAGTAAGAGTGCCAAAACAGACTGGAAATGCTAGGACACTGCAATGCCATACAAGCCATCTCCACAGCATATATACTCACTACGTGTCCCAAGCCCAGCTTGGTGGCACTTTCAAAGGACTATTCTACAAACACAGAATGGTTTGGGTTGGAAGGGGCCTTTAGTGGTCATCTGGTTTGAACCCTTCTGCAATAACCAGGGACATCTGCAGGTTGATCAGGTTGCTCAGAGTCCTATCCAACCAGGAATGGGGCATCCAACACCTCTCTGGGCAAACTGTTCGTGTTTCACCATTCTCATTGTAAAGAATTTTTTTCCTAATATCTAAAATGTAACACTTTCCCAGCTTAGCCCCTGTGAACCTTCACACTTTAGAAGTACTGGTCAGGGGACAATGCAATCCAGAAACAGTGACCCAGGGCACTTCATGCCTCCCCTCCACCCTATGGCTCTTCTGCAGCTCCAGAGATCTGCCCATGAGCTGAGCACATGTGCAGTGTCTGTCTGCTCCTTGCCCCTGGCTGCCATGACAACCTAACACCACATGCCCACACATGGCATTGCTAGGGGATGCTCCCCCAAATATTTTCTCTCAACTCCTGGAGCTGTTGAGAGATTGAACACTTTGTGGAAGTCATAATCTTCAGTGCCTTTGTTATGGATAAAAAGATGTTGATGTAATTAGATGGAGTGCAAAATAAGGGTTCCTTTTACCATCCCCATAGATGTGCTTATTAATCCTCCCTGCCATCACATTTTTCTGTCCTTGCTTCTTCCTCTAAAATGTGATTGTCTTCTCCATTCCTTTTCCCTTCTCCTTTGTCTCTCCTAGCTTCTGAACATTTTTGCAGTAGTTGCTGTGAATGGAGTAGTTGCTCCCAATCTGTCCCAAACATTGCACTTACATCACTTTTACTGGGAAATCTCAAATGAAAAACCATAGCAAATATTTCAAAAAAATCTGACTTTACAGTGTAATTTCAGCTTTGGATTTCTTTTTCCACCTGTGCCTGTTGTCCCTCTCACATAGATACAGAAACTTTATCTCTCACCCTATCCAACCCGTTGGGGAGAGAAGGCACCAATATAATGAGGACATAATGAGGCACCAACAAAGAGCAGATAAGTGACAAAATAACTACAGAGCTGGGGAAAATTAGATTCTTCCCTTCTTAGGCTCCTTTGTTTTCCCCTGCCTCACCTGGAAATCTGAAGAGAATAGAAAACGCGGTACAAGAAGAAGTACCTCAACTTCTCAGATGAGAAGAATAAAAAATGCAAATAAAATTACAATATTTGGTACTCTAAAATGGATACAGAAAAAGCAAAACCCATTCATTGTAACCTCAGCCTTCCTGTGTGACATATTCTGCTGCTGTAAGTTCTGGTTGGGGTCCAAATGAAAGCTCTTACAAATGAACAGCCACATTCCTGGGTTCAAAGCTCTTCTCCCCTTGTTCAAACCCACCTTTTTTTTCCCTCCACAGCTTAATGGCAGGAATCCTTGCAGGGATGCTTGCTAAACATGACACAGGTACATGTGTCCGAATGGGTCTGCTGGCTGCCAGCTTGTCTCTTCGTTCCTATGAGCCCATTTCCCCAGAAATCAGCACTTCCAGTGTCAGCCAGGAGCAAGTCAGGAGCAGGAGCTGGCCAGAGGCAAAGGTATGGAAGATGGAATAGAACACTGTGGCTTTCTCATCTATCACCTCATTGCACTTGCAGCCATCCTATTTTCAGGAACTGGACTGTGTTTTGAGCTTTGAGAACATTTATCTGCTTTGGTCCTGAGTAAACCCTCAAGAAAGGAAATCCCTACCCAGGGAACTTCTGTGGAATGAAAAGCTGATTTCTAGTATTTCAGACCTCCTGGTTTTCTGACCTCCAGGCCTTCTAGATTTTCTATTGAGGGAATTTTCTCTTCCTCCACCTTGTGTCACTGTTGTCCATTATCACAGTAGTTCCTCTGTCATTGACTCCTGGATCTTCAGGACCATGTCTCTTCAGCTGGGCCCAGCAGCAACATCTGCTCTTGCTGCTTACTCTTTCCTATCCCATGGATCACAGCCGATGGCAGGGTGCAGCTGGCAGGAACATGACACTGTAGGATAATCTTATCCATCTTCCCAAGCCAGCCAGCATACACCACACCTTCTTGCTCTGAAGTCCCAATGCCCCTGGAGAAAGTAGCCAAGACAAAGTAAAGAAGAGTGACCAGGCACCAGCTGGTGGCCTTTAACAGATGATAGCCCCTTGTTCCACATGCCTTCCTCTGAACTTGGGGCTTCCTTCCTCCTTCTTAAGTCCTGCGTGTCAAGTCTGAAGCAAAAGAGATCAGAGGGAGCCAAGGCATCTCCCATGGAAGCCATGAGGAAAAGTCACCTTCTCTCTCTAAGCGTGTAATGTGCACAGGATGCAACTGTGGGTGCCAACAGATCAGTGAACACTGAAACTCATTAAAACTGATTTCTAGTAGAGTTGGGTCTCACTAGCTGGTTCCTAAACTGACTGATAGTAAACCTGGAGTACAGACTCACCCTCTGTTTCATCCAGAGACCATGGTCAGACCCCTTGGCTGAGGAGCAGCTCCCTGGTGTCCGACACAGAACTGAGGTCAACCAAAGCTTGATCAGGACAGCTCTAACATCACTCTCCTGGATGGGTTCTGCTGTTTAACCAGTGGGCTCCCACTGCAATTGATAGAGGCATTAACTGGGTGCCTTTCTCCCACCTGAGGCTACTTCCACCAGGCTCTTAGCAACTCCTTCCCTCTGAGCCCACGCCTTTCCATCAGACACACATTTACCATCAGCTTTCCTTTACTGAACCCTTGTTTGCAACTGTGGTTCAGCTGAAAGATTCTGTGCTCAGATGGCACACACCCATGTGTGCAGGGACAGGGTGGCTGTGGCAGAAGGGTGCTGGGATGGTTGGGAACACAAGGGAGGGGGATTGGGTCTCACATGAGCAGCTGGGTTTGCTCACAAGCTGAGAAGTGGGACGCAGTAGGGCAGGAGAGGAGGGCTGTGCCCCCAAGGTATGTCCCTGCACTATAAGAATCACTTTGGCTGGATCCAGAGTCAAGGGAAAAAAGCAGCTTCCACCTCTGCTACTGGCTGCAACAGCCTTGTCCAGGCAGAAGGACCCTGAGCAAAGGCAGGACCTGAGGATGGATGTCCAGGCACTGGCAGTCACCACGCTCCTCCTGGTACTGCTCTGCTCAGCCCCAGCACCATCTGGGGCACTGGAGAGCCAGGCCAGCAACCTGGAGAGGCAGGCAGCGGCTGGGCTCCCTGCAGAAACCCCTTGGCCACTTGAAGATGGAGGGGACAAGCTACCTGGGCAGGGCTCAGAGAGGAGCCACCCTCTGGCCAGTGCATGGAAAGTGGTGAGAGAGGCACACCCCAGCTTAGGGTCCCTCAGCAAGGCCATGGCCAAAGCTCTCCTGGGCAGTGGGGAGCAGGTTGCCCCTGGCAAGCCCTGGAGGCTCCCACTGCAGCCTTCCTGCAGCAGGATGGTGAGGCTGAGCCTGAAGGACCACAGGAAGTTCAACAGCAACACGGTAGGTACAGAGAGGGACAGAGTTTGCGCTGGGGTTGCACGGTGAGCGGGGTACCAGTCAGGATCAGACAGGACAGCAGGAGCAGGACAAGCTGAACATGCCATGATCCTACAAACACCAGGTAGAAAAGGTGTTTTTGAGGCCATTCCTCTTAAGATGCATGTAAAGGTGCCAGTCACAACATGGCCTCTCAACACAGCACAGGTCTGAGAAGGGAGTGGGGCAGTGACATCCCCAGATCCCCAGCTGGCACCTGGCAAGGCTTAGAGCAGAGCTGATGGCTGTGAGCAGCTCAGGGTGAGGGTGCAGGTCTGGCTGCAATTGTCCCCATGTGCTGCCCTCAGAGCTGCAGGGACAGCCCTGCTCCAGCCCCAGCCCCTGCAGTGTTCACTCTGTGCAGTGCTAACAAAGCTCTCCAAGCTCTGCCATGGGACACCATGCCCTGATGCCCTGATGGGCACAGCTCCTCTCAGCACTGCCCTGAAGGAGGCACAGCCTTTCTCTGCCCATGGGAAATCTGCTCCACGGGCTCAGCACAGAATCCCACAAATAACCAACTTCTCCTTTATCAAACCCAAACCACACTTTGGTGGCACACAAGTAGACCTTGCCTTAACCACAAAGTGCTGGGTGACGCCGTGCCAAATGCCACTCAGCTGGGGCGGGTGCCACCACAGCAAAAGGGCAGAGGCACTGCAGGGGTGTGTTGTGGCTGTGGGGGCCAGCTTAGAGTGTTTCCAGCCAAAACCAGTAATGAACTGCCCCTGGAAGCACTTCCTTAGGCCCCAGCTTCTCCAGCTCCCTGCAATGAAGCTGCTGCTCTAGACCCTGGTGAGCTGCTTGTGCTGCTACTGCAGTGACGGTGCAGTTGGGACTGGGCTGGTCCTGGCTGCCATGGGCATTGCAGCCGCCACTTCCCTTCTGTCTGCAGCACTCCTGCCACAGCATCCAGTCCCAGAGGCCAGAAGCCCTCTGACTGCGGTGGCTGCCTGGGGCTCTACACCTGCAAGCTGCCTGCTGGCACCTGCAACCTGAAATCTATCTCCAGGCAGAGAGGTGAGTTCTAAGTCTCCTGGCAACTGGCAGCAGGGATCTCCACATGCAGCTAAGTGCAAACACACCCCCTTGGTTGCAACACTCCAAGCCCAAATCTGACTGCCCCATGCAGGGCTGGGTGTAGTCTCTTGACTGCCCAAAGCTGTCTGTCTGTCCTGACAGCAGTAGCTACAGGTAAATCAACAACTGCATGGTGGATGGGATATTCCCAAAACTTTCTGGGAGGCCTGGGATTTCACAGGTTTCCTGAGCTGTCACAGGACACCGACAGCTGGAAAACCAAGGAGGGGTACAGCGCTTGGGATTTAGCCAGCAGCTTGGGAGTCAGCCAGTGCAGTCCTGCACATCATGGGCCCTGCAGAGCTGCTCACACTGGTGTGTGAGAGCTGTTTAATTAGGCAGGAACTGTCAGGGAGCAGAGATCACAGCTTTTAATGTTTAACCAGTGTCCTGATTCTCCAGCACCCTTTGGTAAATCCGTACTGTCCCCAGATTGGCCTCTGGCCCCAGCACGTTTGCCCACACCCTTGTACACATGGTCATGGAGCAGAAACTCGTCCAAGGCTGCTAAACAGAGACCCAGCTCTGGTGCAGGAAACCCCTAACCCTAGAGTAGGCAAGTTTAATGTTTGTGTACAGTACAGTGTGTGTGTGTGTACAGAATATAGGGCATCCCCAGTGTTTGTGCTCTGTTCATAGTCTCCTCTGGTCACCTTCTGCTGGCAGCCTCCATGGTAGGACACACAGACCCATGGTCACACCTAGCACAGATGGTCTTATGGCTTTTCCTTACAGGTGGCTTCCTCCAAAACATACAGAGCCCTTAGATGAAGAGTCAAGCTCATCTTGGAGCAGCACAGCTCAAACTAAAGCTGAAGAGGTTGTCCTGCAGCTGGAGACCAATACTTCCTGTCCAAGTTTCTTTTTAAATCCTTAATGACACAGTTGTAAATGTTTCTTTCATTGTACTTCTCTTGCTGCTGCTTTTTAACACCCCCTTTGGATTTTGTACATTATATAGGCTTGATTCCTACTTTCCTGAGAGCAGACAATAAATGCACTGAGTTGTCATGGAGCCCTGTGCTGGCAGAGCCCCCTTGGAGCTCCCCAGTGAGGCAAACAGGGCTATTTCACAAGCCTTTTTAATTGAAGCCATTAGGACATTGCAGGAAAAGCTGCCAGTATCTCAGCATGCTTGCATACCAATTCAAGCTGAGCTAAGTGTTGGGCAACCTGGGATCCCTCCCTACTCCTTACCACAGCTCCTGCCAAGGAAAGCCAAGTCCCACATCACTTAAGGAGAGGAATGTGGAGTCCCCAGGAGCAGGCTTGGCAGTGTGGGACCATGTAGGAGACCTACTTCTGAGGGCTGGAGCCGAGCCACAGATCAGCTTTATTTAGCATCCCACAGAGCTTTGCATGCATCCTGGCCACCTTTACACGTGTGGGGATGACCCCAGCTTTGCAAAGCTTCATGTTTTCATTAAAAACTCCTTCTAAAATGAGAACCAAAGCACAGCATTTGATGCACCTCGAACCCCACTGCAGTTCCCTTCAATGAGCCACCACCACCTCTTGTGACTCTGAAGTGGCACCAATTTTGTTCAGCACACCCACGGGGCAGCCCCACCACCCTCCACCTGGTCACCTCTGAGGGAGCCTGACCCTGGGAGGGGATGGGGAGTAAGTCTTGCTGGTTTCTCTGAGCCCCTCTATTGCTGCTTCCTCTGTCTCCGCACAGAAGCCGGGGGGCACAGAGCTGCAGGTGCTGCCTGCCTGCCTCCTGCCTGGTATGACACTGTGGTTGTACAGCACTTACTGTGCTCACCACAGAACCACAGAGAGGTTGAGGTGGGAAGGGACCTTTGGGGGTCACCTGGGCCATGCCCCTGCTCAAGCAGGGCCACCCACCTGCCCAACCTACCTGGTTGCATGGCTTCAAAAGCTTCACAGAGCAGCACTGGACGCACTGCTCTGCTCTGGTGTGGGATGCAGGTGAGGTCCTCTGAACACCACTGCTGGTCAGAAAGGTCCTCTCACCTGGCAAGGCCCATGGACCACAGGAGCACAGGGATCATTTTCAAAGCCTCTGTGAGCCCAGCATAGCACAGCTACAGCAAAGGTATCCATATGCAGCTTTCACTCTGCAACCCCACAGCAGCTGGCAAAGACACTCTCCTCCAAAGAGCAGACTCAAGGATGCTCCAGGTGCTCTTCCCCTCACAAGCAGTGCAAGTACAATGGCCTTCACACCAGCTGGAAAAAAGCCCTCAACCTCCACTCAACTCCCCTGATACCTCCTCACCGAAGGAGGTCACACAGACAGAGGAGAGGGGAGCAGGAGGCCCCACCTCCTGCCCAGGCAGGAGCAAAGAAGGCAGCAGCAAACACTTTGCCCTTGCCTGTTCCCTACTGTGCTTCCCAGCAGCAGCACCCACGACAGCAGAGGAGAGCCCACCTGACCTTTGGGAAGCAGGTCTCCCAGACAAGATCCTGCAGGTGAGCTCCACCTTGGGCTCTCCCGGCAAGCTGCCAGGTGAGGGATCGAGACCACCTGGCCTCTGAGACTCACAGGGAAGCTGAGGGCCTGGCCAGGTCAAGGCTCCAGCTGCTTGATGTCCTCTCTGGCTCATGCTTGGTGCTAGGTGGGACGGTGGGAAGACACAGCTAATCCCTTTCCACGAAAACACTATGGATCCATGTGCCTTTTACACAACTCGCTTTTAATTACACAGCATGAGGAAAGGCCTCTCCTCGTGCCAAGACTCCCTGGTACAGCCACCCAGGGAGCTGGCTGGCCCACCAAGTCCTCAGTAGGTTTAGTGGTTCCCCCTCACCCTTTTCCCTTGCTTGGAAGCTCCTCCTGGTCAGTCCACATTATCCCTGCAGCCCTCAGTGTCCTTGCTTTGCAGAGACCTACTTTCATACATCTCTGTTCTTCCCCTCCACGCCGTTTGCCTGCTCAGTCCCATGGGAGTCCCGCTTCGGCCTCCTGCAGCACCAGGCAGAGAGGAGGCAGGGCATGAGTCATCGGTTAATAACTGTTCTAACCTCAATATAAATAGAAAAATACAACCAAATAAAGAATTGACTAGCTAAGAGATCCAATCCGCCGGGATGCCTGCAACGTGCTAGTGCAGAGTTCAGAGGGAGTGCTTGGTCCAGTGCTTGCTACTGTAGACATCCAGAAGCCTGTCCCGGCAGCCCCGCAGCCACCCCATCTTCTGCAGCACCATGGCCGCGTGCAGCACGTCCCGGCCATGGCCAGCGTGCCCAAGGCTGCTGGCTCCTGGGAGCAGGCTCAGTGGGAATGGTTGATGAGTCTGATTTATTGCTGCTAAGTGGTAAAGCCATTCTCTTCTGTGGCATGAGGATGTGCTCCGCTCTTACTTTTTGTGGAGGAATTTCATTTTGCTGCCTGAAGAGACAGAGAAAAGAAAATGGACTTCCCACAGCAACAGGCAAAACAAGTGTCATTTCCCACCACCTCTGTCCTGTGCAGTATGTACTGGCTCTGCTGCCACCCCTGGCTCCTTGACCACAGCCAGCTGCTCTGCAACAGGGGCCTTCAGAGCTCTGCCCATTCCCTGGGAGCAGTGCTGCAGGCTGGGACCTTGAAAGCTCTCAGGCACACCCTCCAGGGCCCATTTGTCCAGGGCAAACCAGCCCCTCAGGAACTGCTGCTCTTAAATGGCCAAGAACAGAGAAGAGGACCAGGAATGTGATCTTAACACCTGATGAAACTCAGCCACCGTGTCCAATGACTTCTAACCTCAGTCTGGAGCTCTTGGCTAGCTCCCCTTAGAGTGGAAAATAGATTCAATCTTAGAATACCCCTGGGCAGTTCCCACTGCTGATACCTAAGGGCAAACCTGAAGGCAATGAAAATTTTGTCAATCCTGCCATAAAGACTGCATCCACCATCCCCAAGTCACTGGCTGCTCATATCCACCTATCTCCTTTAGAAGACACAGATACAGCTCATGGCCCAATCTTTGGTTCTCCACCAGCCTCCAGACAGTGACTGACCAGAGCCAGAGCCAACAGCGTGCCAGCACACGGATACATGGCCAGGCACTGGATGCCGCACATAGTCACTGGTCCTGTCACCCTTGGGCAGGTTCTGTGCTGCCCAACCTGAAGGCAACAAGAAGCCCGGCCCTTGGGAAGCCAAGGGTTTTGCTGGTTCCTTACCTAGGCCTTTCAGGAACCTATTGACTCCACTCTGCTCCCCACTGGGAAGTGTTTCCAGGTACTCCTGAGCCCGTACCTCAAACAGACCTGCAGAAAGACAGAAATCAACAGCTTTTATGCTGTCTCTCTCTAAATCCAAGTAAGAATGTCCACCTGAAAGTGTACTGTCTCAGCTTACCCACATATTATTGCACAGAAGAGAGAACAACTCACCCCACCTCCTCCATCAGCTGAGGCCAGATTTGGCACAGAAGCTTTGTTCTATCTCCTCCCTCCCCACTGCAAGGGTGACTCAGCTGCTTTACCTCACTCAGGGTACAGAATGTACCTCCCTTCATTCTGCTATGAAGGCAGCTAAGCCCAGGGAGTGACATCATCTGGGGAATCATCATGCATAATTTATCTCTTTTACTCAGCCACCTATTCAAGCATCCCCTGCTAACTAATGCTCATCAGGAAGCTGCTAAGCCAGCACCAGTAGCAGCAGGGATAAGAAATCTCAGCTGCTAGTAGAGCCCTTGGGACTGCAGGATAACAGGAGTGAAACTGAAGTCGCAGCTCTGGGAAGCATATGAGCATCCAAGCTTCCTACTAGACAAAAGAACCATGACCAATCCAGCCCATTTTTCCTCTAGACACAAGAAGAGGACACGAGGGACTATGAGAATAAATGTCATTGCAGCAGTGGAATTCAGCGTGGAATGGAAGAGGCACATGTGGAGGATACTGCAAGGGTGAAAGATGCCTGCAATCCCAACCCCATCAAGAAACCAGCAGATTCCCTTCTGGTGTTCCTGCACAGACACTGCAGCCTCCAGCCACGGAACTGGGGATGGAGGCGGTGGCTGGGGAGCATCTCCCTGCTCCTGTAGGAGCAACAGCAGCTTCCAGCACAGCAGAGCCCAGTTGGAGCCCCTCACCTCTGACCCCCTGCTTCCGCAGTTCCCGCTCCTGAATGAAGCCCCCAAACATCTGTGTCTCCATGAAGACCTCCAGGAAGCGGCGGAGGCTCTTGGAAGAGACGGATTTGCGGAAAGCCTCACGCTGCAGGGTCCGCTCCTCTCGCTCCGTGGGGGTCAGGAAGAGGGAATAGTGGCCCACAATCTCCACAAAGAAACGGACAAAGGCCTCGGACACCACCTCGTTCAAAGGGCTGGTTTCTAAGGAAAAAATAAAGAGGCAGTAGTCAGGACAGTGCTGAAAGAATGTGCTAGGAGAATCTCTGGGTAAAAATTCCCTGGCTTTTTTCAGATCCAGCCTGAGAAGAAAAGGCTGCTTAAGAGAGAGAGCATCCTAGGAAGTGCTTGTCATGGAAGTAGACCAAATTGGTACTACTTTGAAAGACACCCAGCTTTTTTATTTTGGTGCTCACTTTTCTCTGGTGGGATGTGGGAGAGAATCAGAAGAGTAAAAGTGAGAAAACTTATGGGCTAAGATACAGAGAGTTTAATGGATGAATCTAAAACTGTGGACGCAAGCAAAGCAAAATAATTGATTTATTCAGTAGCTCCCATGGTCAGGCAGGTGTTCAGCCCTTCCCAGGAAAGTCGGGCTCCAGTATGCATACCTTGGGAAGACAAAATGCCCTATTTTCAAATGTCTCCCCACTTCCTTCTCCTTCCTGCAGCTTTATACGCTGAGCATGACTCCATGTGGAACAACCCTTTGGTTATTTGGGATCAGCTGGCTCTGTCTCCTCCCCACTCCTTGTGCACCCTCAGCCCACTCACTGGTGGGGTGGGATGAGAGGCAGAAAAATGTTGGCTCGGTATGAGCTCTGCTCAGCAACAGCTAAAACATCCCTGTATTATCAACACCATTTCCAGCACAAGTCCAAAACACAGCCCCATACCAGCTATGGAGAAAATTAACTCTGTCCT